AGTAGTCGACATCTGTTGAGGAAATCATGATATTCCCAGCAAGTTCTAGAATACAGAATCTACTGCAACAGGTTAACACTGTAGGTGTTACTATCAATGTAGAATGACAGTGTCCTTGATTTGAAGCAGGGATGTTACTATCAATGTAGAATGATATAGTGGCCTTGATTTGAAGCAAGGATGTTACTATCAATGTAGAATGATAGTGGCCTTGATTTGAAGCAATGATGTTACTATCAATGTAGAATGATAGTGTCCTTAATTTGAAGCAAGGATGTTACTATCAATGTAGAATGATAGTGGCCTTGATTTGAAGCTCTAGAATGTATTATACAATACAGTTCTTGTTATATTAAAATAGCACATCATCAATGTATTTAAAAGTGACTTGGCTAGGTGTTTGTTACCAGTCCCAATAATATCTTCAATAGATTCGGCTTCATATGAAATAATTAATGATTTGAAGTAAGGATGTTACTATCAATGTAGAATGAGTGTCCTTGATTTGAAGCAAGGATGTTTCTATCAATGTAGAATGAGTGTCCTTGATTTGAAGCAAGGATGTTTCTATCAATGTAGAATGATAGTGTCCTTGATTTGAAGCAAGGATATTACTATCAATGTAAAATGATAGTGTCTTTGATTTGAAGCAAGGATGTTACTATCAATGTAGAATCATAGTGACCTTGATTTGAAGCAAGGATGTTACTATCAATGTAGAATGATAGTGGCCTTGATTTGAAGCTCTAGAATGTATTATACAATACAGTTCTTGTTATATTAAAATAGCACACTGTTACCAGTCCCAATAATATCTTCAATAGATTCGGCTTCATATGAAAACAAAAACAATTCGGACAGAAGAGGCACAGTGTGTTCCCATAGGCATGCCCCGAAAACAGCACTGCAGTGCCAACTATAACGTCAATGACCCTTAGACCAACTATATAGTCAATGACCCTTAGACCAACTATAACGTCAATGACCCTTAGACCAACTATAACGTCAATGACCCTTAGAACAACTATTGGAATTTCCCTTCACACTGTCGTTCTCTATCACCTCATGCGGGAAATTGGTGAAAGGATCCCGAGAAACAAGCTCAGCCAAATATCTACTCACAGCAAAGGTAGTGAACCTACAATTGACATTTACCAAGCCTTTCTCCATAACACCAGTTGAACATCCGCCCAAAGACTATGAAATCAAAGTAACTAATTAGTAAGTGGACAATGTCTCAGGAAAAGCCAAAACGTATACTGTATACTGGGTTTTTTTTGCCATTTTCTTTTCTGCTATAAGGGCGAGTTTATCAGGACAGCTAATATAAATACAAAATTTAACCTACAATAGCACTTACGTGTGAAGGGCAAACTTTAGACTGGGTGAATATATATAGATGTTAATTACCAGCGAAGGGCGAATATTGAACTGGGTAAAAGGTTCCAGTATAGAGTATCAGAGATATTAAAACAGACGAGGATTGTATCCCATTATCTAAAACATCCTTATTTCTAGGTCACCAACCTCTGAGTATCTTCAATGCTATGAAGAGGAGTAGCCACCTGTCGTCCTTAGCAGTACTCCACGTCCACATTGACGTTGAAATACACATTGACAGCTTTGCTTTAGCAAGATGCTGAGTTAGAATTATGTTATTTACAAGAAATTTGTTAGAATCTAGTTTAAGTTTTGAATAATTTAGCTTACTGTATTATAATGACAGACCTTTTTAAATTATACTTTTGCTAAAGTGTGCATGTAGTAAACAGTTACCTACAGGAAAGTAAAATATAACAATAACATCTTTGGTGATTACATTTATTTTATTTTATAAAGTTGACCCCCAAAATGCACCAGAACTTACAAAATGTGTTAAAAAAACATGAAATTGCCCTGGGTAGGCCACCAGACTCCGTACAGTGAGTGGGAGATACCAGTACTCCCACCGGGCCACCAGACTCCGTACAGTGAGTGGGAGATCCCAGTCCTCCCACCTGGCCACCAGACTCCGTACAGTCAGTGGGAGATACCAGTACTCCCACCAGGCCACCAGACTCCGTACAGTGAGTGGGAGATACCAGTACTCCCACCTGGCCACCAGACTCCGTACAGTGAGTGGGAGATACCTACGCCAAGCTGGCCACCAGACTCTGCACAGTGAGTGGGGATACCTACTCCCACCTCGTCTCTTTGTGCCTGCAGGTCTGCAGTTTAACCATAATCAAGTTATTCCCCTTTCATATACAGTAACAGGTAAATTTAATTTAAACTTATCATTTAAGCATTGCATAATGAGTTGATTGCTGAGTTTGAAATATCCAGTATCAGTAATAAACATGGGCATATATGTTTCAAATCATCATTTCCAAAATAATACTGGTATATATTCTACAAGGCAGCTATAACAAACACATGTAGATTAACCTGGGAACAGGTAGAGAAGGCGGCCAACACCTGGAGGAGTGTAGTATACTTAATTATTTGCATGTAGTCTAAAGGTAGTGCCCTCTACAAGCACTAGGCGTTACCTTTATAGCCTTCACCCAACGGCACAACAACACTATAGAAATGCTTGTCCATGTTAACAAATGATAGTTGTATAATAATGCTAGTAAATGTTAACATACAATACAAGTACAGTGATACTGGTTTACGTAAAAGAATATACAACAACCGCACTATATGTACAAAAATAGTTTGGTGAAAATGGAAGTTCAGTAAAATATATTTGTGATTAACCCAAAGGGATCGACTCTAAGGATAAACTTTATTGAGTAAAACAGCGGATCCATGGAATAAGTTGTTCAAAGTGAAATATGTTTACAATGAACGGTTATGGAGCGAGGGAATAGGTTCCCATGGAGGACCTAAAAATATAGTTCTTTATAGGTAAATTACAACATATGCCGTCAATGAGATACATCCATGTCATGGGACACAAAGATGACTTTATTTAAAAAATATATATTTTACATGTATATTCAGGGTGTTCATTGTAAATGTGTTTAATGGTATCCAAATTGACCTTATAAGTAGTAATATCATAAACTTAACCCTCAGAATCTGGTTACGTCAAACTTATTGATTTGGCAATATCTCAACTAAAATATTAAAAATACTTTTTTTCCCCCAAATTTCTTTTTCTAAAAAAAGTGAATGTTTTTCTAACACTACCCTGGTGGTAACCAGAATAATTCAAGTTTCTAGGATTTACTTTATATACTTTCTTGAAGATATAATAATAAAACTAAATCCCAGATTTATGCCTTTGCTGTGATGTTGATGAATTGTTACGGCTAGATCATAACAAACAGTATCAGTAAGTGAAGATCACTTTTCTCTTCCATAAAGTAAATAAAGACAAAGCTACATGTTCAAAAAAGGAACGAGATTCACATAACTTTAGTAGCCAATCATGGCTCTATAAACCTTATAAGTTTACTTTGGTAGCCAATTATGGCTCTATAAACCTTATAAGTTTACTGCAGTAACCAATCATGGCTCTATAAACTTTATAAGTTTACTGCAGTAACCAATCATGGCTCTATAAACCTTATAAGTTTACTTAGGTAACCAATCATAGCTCTATAAACCTTATAAGTTTACTGCAGTAACCAATCATGGCTCTATAAACTTTATAAGTTTACTGCAGTAACCAATCATGGCTCTATAAACCTTATAAGTTTACTTAGGTAACCAATCATAGCTCTATAAACCTTATAAGTTTACTGCAGTAACCAATCATGGCTCTATAAACTTTATAAGTTTACTGCAGTAACCAATCATGGCTCTATAAACCTTATAAGTTTACTTAGGTAACCAATCATAGCTCTATAAACCTTATAAGTTTACTGCAGTAACCAATCATGGCTCTATAAACTTTATAAGTTTACTGCAGTAACCAATCATGGCTCTATAAACCTTATAAGTTTACTTAGGTAACCAATCATGGCTCTATAAACCTTATAAGTTTACTTTAGTAACCAATCATGGCTCGATACCTTATAAGTTTATATTAATATAAAACATTATTGAGTTATGACAAAATAAAGGGTTTGAGTAATATAAGTAGATGTCCCAACAGTGTTGATGTAAAATGTTGTCAAAAATGTTAACAAAAAATACTGTCATCGTAATTTCTACCATAAATATTATCGATTTCTTCAATTCTGTTCAGTGTGATATGTTTTATCTGACAAACTGCGTTCTTATCCTTCCAGAAGAGACATTACATTCTTTGAGATATCACATTTGTATAATGACGTCATGTTTTATGACACCTTCCAACTCAAAGTGTCAAATCATGTGTTAGGCAATGACAAATTATGTTTTTTTCTTTTTCTATTTTAAGTAGGTGCCATTTCAAAAGTATTTTATTGACAATACATATATAATACAAACATATAAGTTAACATTAAAGGAGATATTTGAACAGTATTGACAAAAGAATAAGACAACAGGCTTTGCCTATATCAGTCTTCTTCCATTTCCGGTAGCTATATATGTACAATGCTTAAATATATAAAATATTGTAATTCGTTTTCCTCTCACACACATGCACCCCCCACACCCAGTAGGTGTTATTGGAGAGAGAAGATACTAAACTGATCATTATTCTTAATTCATATCCCATCAAACGATTTTTTTCTTCTTCAAATTTTTACACTTTTGCCACTGCTCATATAAAATGTTTTAGAATAATCTTATAGACATGGTATAAATCCTAATCAACCAACACGGCAGGGGTTTGATTGGGTTTGATTGGTCATTTAGGGACATGTCAGGTCTTCAAAACACATGTCAGTATAAACTTCAATTTACTGTATAACTGACCAGTGGAGTATGGGAAAGGAATTTGTTCCACCAAAACATAATCTCACACTACATAATCAACATTTAAATCAACAAAGATAACTACACTAATAACAACCATCACAAACCTTATAGCAACATTAAATGATCAAATAGAACTAAAAAGGAATTCTTCAAAACCTTCAAGTGCATGTTTACAAACAACATCAAATGTAAAGAAAAAATGAGATAAAAACAATCTTGTTCCAATATACCCCATGGCTATTGTATTAATTTCTATGTGAACATTACTTGATGACATATACTGCAAGAGTTCAATATTAAATAATATCATGATCTAAAGTCAATCTATCAGACTCAATTAGTCCAAGAATATTCCTTTAAATATCTTACAGATTTATACTCAAAGTCACGTTTTCAGCTCCTGTTCAGTGAAACAGCCCAATGTCTTCCGAAGTGGACATAAATTCTGAATTTTGACACAATTTCCATTTTGGTGTTGATTTGCTTGACCATAAGTTGGTGATCCCTGTACTACGATCTGGTAGGTGTACATGGCTGAGATGTTACATTGGTCAACTCCTGGTCCTTTACTGTACGTAACCAGTGTTGAAAGGGTTGGCGGGACTGCTCGACTGGTCATTTGGTTGTGCCTGATGGGTCACAACCAGCATACCTATAATTTACAATGAAGGTGTGAGAACTGTTGTATAGCTACAGAACTAAATGTTTCAGTAATATTTTACTGACCATCTTGACGATGAATAAATTATAATACAACTGTATTTGATTGGATCCCTTATTTCCGCCCCATAGAATTTGAGTGGTTTTAAACATTAATCTTTATATCCCCTATCGGGCCCCACCATATGCCACCATAGAGCAACCCTCCACGAATACAAAATTGAGTCCCCTTTTCCAAAAAACATCCTACACAAGAATTGGTTAAGATCCCTCCAATCAAAGTTAAGAAGATGGATTTTAAATATTACCACAATTTCCCCTATTTGGTCACACCTCTCTGCTCTCTGGCAACCACTGCACCTTTTATATAAAATTGAGTCCCCTGTTCTGCCCAAGGTTGCTCTGGACCCTTGGTTAAAATCCCTCCAATCATTCAGAAGGAGAAGTATTTTAAGGATTTAGCTCAATTTCCCCTATTAAGTCAACCCCCCCCCCCTCCCTTGGGGGGGGGGACTCTCTGTTTACACAAAATAATTCCCTTTACCCAAGGATGCTCCAGGCTAAATTTAGTCAAAATCCACTAAGCTGTGCAGGACTAGTAGCATCAAGACATAAACTCACTTGCCCTTTGGGTAGGTGAGCTAAAATAAAGTGTTTTCCCAAACAAAATTTGGTTAGATAGGTAAATATTTGCAACGAAAGTTTAAGCGTAAAATTTATAGCAATCTTCAAGAGCCTCTGAGTGAGCTTTCTTAATAATAGTCCTAGGGTGGGGATCAGAACCCTTTCCCTACTATGACCCAGGGAGTATGTCCCCTGAGGCCAAACCTGATAGCCTATTACTGTATTGGAACTTTCATGCATGGTTATTGTATATGGTTGTGGGGATTATAAGTATCTCAGGGTATTTATATATGTTGTTACCCATTCACCATGGCACAAAATTATTGTATACATGAATAAGCAAATTCAGAAGGACTTTTTGAAATGTATAATTTCCTTAATTTGATTTTAAAATGATGTGCAATCAGGTTGATTTAGGAAAAATTAGTTTTTTTTCTTTTTCTATAAGATTGTGAAATATGCCTAGTAATTTATATTTCATCTGGTACAAAAGATTTTTTTTGATCATATCAAATTTATCATCATATCAATGACACCCCCCCCCCCCCCCCCCCCCCCCCCCCCCCCCCCCNATGTAACATCACAACTATTGGCGATATTACATGAGGCTAATTGTATAATGTGTTTAATGTATTCTGACTATTCTCTGCAGGATAGCAATATGATGAACAAGTTATAAAAAACAAACCTTGTGGCTCAGCTGGCATCAAGACTGCTCCAGAAGTGCGATTGCGGCAGCAGGCACAACAGCAACAAACACAGCAGGTGATTATAGCTCCTAGTATAGCCAGGACAATCAACACTGGTATATACCTGTGACATACAACATGTCATCTATAACATACAACATGTTAGTCACAACATACAACATGTCAGTCACAACATACAACATGTCAGTCACACCATACAACATGTCAGTCACAACATACAACATGTTAGTCACAACATACAACATGTCATCTATAACATACAACATGTCATCTATAACATACAACATGTCAGTCACACCATACAACATGTCAGTCACATCATACAACATGTTAGTCACAACATACAACATGTTAGTCACACCATACAACATCTTAGTCACACTATCCAACATGTTAGTCACACCATACAACATATCAGTCACAACATACAACATGTCATCTATAACATACATCATGTTAGTCACACCATACAACATGTTAGTCACACTATACAACATGTTAGTCACACCATACAAGATGTTAGTCACACTATACAACATGTTAGTCACACCATACAAGATGTTAGTCACACTATACAACATGTTAGTCACACCATACAACATCTTAGTCACACTATCCAACATGTTAGTCACACCATACAACATGTCAGTAACAACATACAACATGTCAGTCACAACAGACAACATGTCAGTCACAACATACAACATGTAAGTCACAACATACAACATGTCAGCTATAAAATACAACATGTCAACTATAACATACAAGATATGTCATCTATAACATACAACATGTTATTCACACCATACAACATGTCAGTCACAACATTCAACATGTTAGTCACAACATACAACATGTTAGTCACAACATACAACATGTCATCGATAACATACAACATGTCATCTATAACATACATCATGTTAGTCACACCATACAACATGTTAGTCACACTATACAACATGTTAGTCACACCATACAACATATCAGTCACAACATACAACATGTCATCTATAACATACAACATGTTAGTCACACCATACAACATATCAGTCACAACATACAACATGTCATCTATAACATACATCATGTTAGTCACACCATACAACATGTTAGTCACACTATACAACATGTTAGTCACACCATACAACATGTCAGTCACATCATACAACATGTTAGTCACAACATACAACATGTTATCTATAACATACAACATGTCAACTATAATATACAACATGTCAGTCGCAACATACAACATGTCAGTCACAACAAACAACATGTCAGTCACAACATACAACATGTAAGTCACAACATACAACATGTCAGCTATAAAATACAACATGTCAACTATAACATACAATATATGTCATCTATAACATACAACATGTTAGTCACAACATACAACATGTCAGCTATAACATACAACATGTCAACTATAACATACAACATGTCAACTATAACAAACAACACTAACATAATATCAGTGATACTGATCCCCGCAAACCCATTAAATTTTGAATTTCTGCCTAAATAATTGCACCAACTCTACCCTCCCCTTTTTATAAACCTCAAGAAAACACTGATTTACCAAAGTTTTCATATAAATATACATTTTGGTCTAACATTACATGTTGTGTGAAAGAGCAGCCATTATATGATACAAGTGACATCATTTAAACAATGAACTGTGGTGATATGGCATTCACAGACTGTACATTATGTAGGAATGAAACAGCTTTAAAGGCAAACAAAACATGACACACATTTATATTTTGTATGCCTGACAAAATTCCTTTGAATTCCGGTTAGAAACAACTAATAAGCTGTTTATGATAATATATGTAATGTTCATAATATATATGTACAACATATTGAAATGGGTCAGCCCTGTGTAACAGAAGTTACCATAACACTAAATATTAATGTCATGTTGTAATGTATGTGTCAATGTGATATCATATGTAGTCATGTCCATCGTATTCGTTACGTGAAAGTAAACTATGTATATTGTAACTGTTAGTGATAGTTTCGTATCTTTCTGTTCTTAGGTTTTCTGTGGATATTAAAAATATGAACACCCTTAAATGTCTAAGAAGTTGTTTTTCCAAGCCTTAATAAGGCCACGGAGGGCTACACATAGAACAAAGATTTTTACATAATTGTAAACAAAATTTGATTCTATCTCAGAGGCCCTACCTAATATATTTACGTAAGTTAACAAAAATTTGAGTACATGTACTAACAAAGTAAAAGAATTGTGTAATCTCAGAAAATATTTACATTGTGCTATGAGAAAATGTTGAGAAATCAATTGTAAGCTCACTCTCCACTTAATTAACTTAAATGTGTATCCGTACATAATCTCTTGTACATGAACGTGCACTACATGATGTAATTGTAATTTGTTAGATATTTAACCTACGAGTTGAATAGCTCTCGGAAATAAAGAAACTGATCAACTGGAACTGAACCACTGTTGACTTGTCTTGATTAGACAGTTCCTTGTGATTACTGCTGTCATATAGGGCCAACACATTACCAGTCACTCGTTACTATATTTTAGCTGATATTTTTTTTTTTTTAAATCTTAAAAAACCCCACTAAATTCTAGTAAATACAAAATTGAGAGACAGGTTTGTTTCTGGGCTCACCAATGTGCTGTGAACCAGGCTGTACAGAAGTCCATCCTCATGTCGACAGGTGCCTGAAGCAGGATGTTATCGCAACAGTCATACTTGAGGAGGTTGAAGCAGCAGTAATTGTCACACCATTTCTGTTCGTTGGACACTTCATTCCCAATGATGTTGTAGTGGGCTTTGCAACACTCACCACTCTCTCCTAATTGGACTGAAATCAATTAAAACAGTCGTTTACTTCCGAAAGAGGTAAAATGTGTGCTATATTACCATTGCTTTAATTGAAAATTGTTGAATAAAAAAATAAGAAGTTACACAATATTATTTACATAATCTTAATGATATACTTAATAAGCTATAGAACAGGTGAGCTAAAAAAGTATAAAAAAAAAAAGGTCCAGAGGGCCTGTATCGCTAACCTGGATATCTAAACAATCATGGCAAAATATTCTCCAAATAATATGCAAATGAATGAGCCAGACCCCAAGGTCAATCCTTGTAGCATACATCTGTATTGGATTTTTTTTTTCTTAACATTTAATGTTGATATAAACAAGCTAGAATTATAATAAACATTATTCTGCTTTTGATCTTCAATGTTTATAACATGTCTAGAGCAAATGGCACATCATCTAAAGTTCATTTATCGATCAAGGTTACTTAGCCTTTGTTTTCTTATTTATTTATTGCTAAAATGTATAACCAGGGGATTTTACTATGATTTTAGTGGTTTGCATGGCAACATCTATCACTATTTGAGGTCGGTGCTCCTCTCAACAGCTAGTAGAAGAGAAATAAGCTCTGCATGACCTTTAGGTATATAAATAAACCTTAAATTATGGGTCATTTCTTAGCACTCAGTTGGGTCCCAAAAGAGATTGAAATATTATAAGTCCAATGAGCTATTTTAATGAAGGCATCATCCTTAATGCCTTATTTTCGACTACGTTAACATGGCTATGTATTTTTTGTATAGCCAATGTACAAGTTCTATATATACAAATTACATATATAATTTTCAACGTTTAATTGAGGTCTTTGAATATGACTTATCAGGGGGTTGAAATTTTCAGTGACTACAGCATCTATAAGGGGGCTTGTTGAACCTTAACAATACACCTCGACAGGTTAGTGTGCATGCGAGCTCCGCTGTGCAGCCATGCGAGACAAAATACAAAGGCTATATATTTATAGAATCTGAATACAACTCACATCATACTATACTGTAACAGGGCGAAAAACCGTTGACAATCATGTCCATAATAATTAGCCAACCAGCTGCGGCCTCTTTGTTATACTTTGTAGGAGAAACTATTTACACCCTATATAAGTTTTAAGAAAAATACCTTGGTTAAGAAAGGCTATACAATAGTAGATGACAAACTACACTCAACTAAGACTGGACCCATCAACATTTTACATGCTATTGCTTTCAAGTACATTTTATTACTTTAAGGTGGCTCCACACTTTCGCAATTAACCAGCAAAACTCGTTGAAACTTTCATATAATGGTTATGCAACTATGTAGAGTTGGGTTTATGAAAATCTTAACATTCCGATAGTTTGGGGACTTTTTTGGAAAAAATACCAAAAAATTGAATTTTCATCAATTTTAATATTTTCCGGATTTTTGTGTGTGTGGCATTGTTCGGAACAATAACAACAATAATAAAATGAAAAGAAGCATTTCTAATTAACCCTACAAATATTTTATTTATCGCAAAATATGTAACACATGTTACACAAAGTGTTTTTAATTGAATTTGTACAGATAAAAGTGATTATCTACAAGCTAAAAGCAAACAGGACACAAAGATCTATACATAGAGAACGGGAAATTGAACAAAATATAAACAATGACTTTATAATAATTTATTTTACATTTTACAATCACTTCGATCCGGGTGAGAGTTATCTTCCTTGAAAAAGATCAGAACTTTTTGCAGAGGGGTGACATTTACACAATGACAGTTGTCTCTGTTTACATATAACAAAAATGATGGAAATAAATCAAAAATATGATATAAAAATTATCAACTTATTGTTCTTTAATGGAACCAAATTACCCTCAGTCATGTACACTTTGGACATCATTCCGCAGTCCGTTAACTCACACGGTATATTTATAATTATATGTCAGGTACATATGTGACCAGAGGCTATCGCATGGTATGCCGTTCTCACGTGCACTCACATATGCATTTCATAGGTATCTTGATATTTTACAAAACATTATTTTCACAGAGTAAGTAGACTACATTTGTAAACACGATTACAGCGAAAATCATAACGACCTTGAGCTTATGAACTCGTGTAAGCACGTGATATGCACATGTGAGGTTGGTAGGTCCGCATTCCATGCGTTTCCTATATGACCTTCTTGAGGTCGTTTGGTCCCATGTCACTGTTTTCCATGAGTCTGTTTATGTCTATGAATTGGAAAGCTTCATTTCCCAGTAAAATCTCGATATCGGGTGTTGACATATCATCGGCACACACGTGTACTATTGTTTACCAGGGGCCTGTTTGTTTATGTGGAGCAACCGGTTTGACCGTTTATAAATGTAACAATTTTGGGTATAAATCCTGGCGGACCTGCAAATGTGTATGCAGGCCTTGCAAGGCTTTCTCAAGGCTCGCCTGAAAACAGCATCAGATTACTAGGTCCGCCCTTATTTAATAAACGAACAACAGTGGGCTGATCGGTTTGACCGTTTAAACGAAAACGGCCCAGGTGTTACTATAATTTGCACTACGATATTGAATGCCCAATACGGAAATGATGACACGGTGTACAAGCACATTTCGATCAAGATAATCGAGTCCGAGCTGTACTTTTTCCGGAAGTACGTCACGAAAATGGACGCTGATGACGATGTGTGGAGCCACCTTAAACTTTACTTGTAATTTACCAAAATAATCTAAATGCAGGCATCAAATTGTACAGAAAATTCAACACACAGTAATCGTACAACCCCAAAATCTGACAAATAACCATCCCATTTTGTGCCGAAAATTGGAACAACAAAATTGTCCAAAGAACAGAATTGTATCAACATTATAATAAATAGCAGCTGCTAGAAGGTATATAATTAAAAAGAAAAAGCATACTGAGTATTGCTAAAGCAATACATGTCCCCTATCGCCTCCCGCTAGCTATAACACTGTAATGATTTATAAAAATGGTGCCCTTTGGTGTTAATTTGGGAAAATGGAAAGTATACAATTAGCTTGTTACTGATTTTAATGTAATAATAATACAAGAAATTGTAATGTTTGTATTATGACAGATGAATTATATATATAAAATGATTGTTATATTTTTTGCTGCTTTTGTGGTATTAAATCAATTACTAGCAAGGGTGATTAAGACGTGAATATCATCACCAACGTGTAATAACGTGGTACTTATCCAGTTTAATTCAGTTCATTATTGCCCTTTTAACAGCGTTACGGTCCTTTGAACTTAAAAGTATTTTTTTGTCTGTAGGTATATATCCTAATGTTTCTAAACCATGATGTTTGAATTACATGCTTTTTCAAATATGTCCGAGGTATTATGGTCCTTTGTAATTGTGTGAAGTTTGATCAAAATTCCTCAAAGAATGAAGCCGCTAGAGTTCTGACAAGGATTTTCTAAAAATAATAACGGTGATCTGGACCTTGACCCAACAACCCTGAAACTCGAACTTGTCCGAGCTAATATGGTCCTTTGTAATTGTGTGAAGTTTGATCAAAATCCCCCAATGAATACTTAAGACTAGTTATAAGCAGCTATAGTTCATATTACTGAGCACATCAAGGTGATGTTGCTGAATACGTGTACCTAAAATAGTATTTAGAGTTGGAAAAACATTTGTTTATTTTATTGTAAAGATTAAAAATGTTTGGGCTATAAACACTGCTCATCTGTGGTATTAAACAGCAACATACATTGTACAGTGGTCTTAAAGATAAAATAAGGTAAATTAGGTACAATTGTTTACCTGTTTATATGCATGAATAAATTGGAGGTAATTAATTATAAGCAATACCTAAGAACAAAAGTAGGTACCCTATCCGTTCCCCATACCAGGTGGATACAATTGTTTACCAGTTTTGCCTTTATATGCATGAATAAATTGGAGGTAAGCAATACCTAAGAACAAAAGTAGGTACCCTATCCATTCCCCATACCAGGTGGATACACTTGTTTACCTGTTTTGCCTTTATATGCATGAATAAATTGGAGGTAAGCAATACCTAAGAACAAAAGTAGGTACCCTATCCGTTCTCCATACCAGGTGGTAGTCGATACCAGTATTGTACATGTAAAATGCTGTTTTTTCTGCCAGACAGTTTTGTATGTGTCATTTCACCTTACAAACAATGTTTTATCTTTAAGACCACTGTATAATGTATGTTGCTGTTTAATACCACAGATGAGCAGTGTTTATAGCCCAAACATTTTTAATCTTTACAATAAAATAAACAAATGTTTTTCCAACTCTAAATACTATTTTAGGTACACGTATTCAGCAAAATCACCTTGATGTGCTCAGTAATATGAACTATAGCTGCTTATAACTATTAAGATATATAATTTTATAACCCGGCCAATACCGATCTTCAATTTAATTGAGGATAGGTATAGATAATACCTTTAGCTAATTACTAATTATAAAGATACTGTATTTACCTTCATTTCAACTGTATTAAGATACAAAACGTAAGTATAGCTAATACCTAAAGCTAATAACAGCTATATACTGTATATACCCCATACCTAACCACAATTGAATTGAGGATTATAGATTCAATCCATTAAAGACATCTCCAATTAAACTAAAGACAGGTACAATCCAATTATATTTAGATATCTACACTGGTGCAGATAACTTACGAAATATACAACTCAATGCATGCTTCTCAACAGCTATACAATGTAGTAAGGTAAATAAGTACTAATTGTAATGGGGCCCCAAACTGCCCCCATAGTTGCAAAGATGCATCAGAAAAGGTTTTGCAATGCCATAATACACTTACAATATACAGTTGTACATACTAAATTTGAGTGACATCGCACAATTTCTGAATTGCAACCAATCAGAAGTGTCTGTGTGGTTGCTATGGCAACGATATCTATGCGATTGAATATGCAGTCCCCTATATACCAATTGTCATCAAAATCGAACAATATATCTAAATTTCGACCAATCAGAAGAATCCATGTGGTTGCTATGGTAACAAATTATATGCTGTTTTATTTTCAGCCCCCATTTACCTCTATATATATACCCTTTTTTTTAAAATCCAACAGTATCTAAATTTTGACTAATCAGAGGCCAGAAATTGGCCGTCATTTTGTTTAATCACAAAACAAACACCGCAGTTGTATGTATTGTGTCATACTACACCTATGCACCAAATTTCATCCAAATCGGCCAGTATTTAAACCTTGACCAATTAGACGAAAAAATTGGCGGCCATTTTTGTTGAAATGTGAAATCTTAGCTACGGAAGAGATCATTGTCTTATGATACACCTACATACTAAATTTGATCAAAATTGGACAATATATAAATTTCGACCAATCAGAGGACAGGAAATGGCGGCCGTGTTGTTAAATCACAAAACATATACAACTGCGGTGTTTGTTTGTTAAATCACAAAACAAACACTGCAGTTGTATTTGTAGTGCCATACTACACCTATGCACCAAATTTCATCCAAATCAGACAGTATTTAAATTTTGACCAATCAGAGGGGGAAAAAACGGCGGCCATTTGGTTGAAATGTGAAATCTAAGCTTCACCTACATACAAAAATTTGATCGAAATCGGACAATATTTAAATTTCGACCAATCAGAGGTCAGGAAATGGCAGCCATTTTGTTAAATCGCAAAACAAACCCCGCAGTTGTTTTGGTAATGCCATACTTATATATACTTGTCTAAATTTCGACCAATCAAAGGCCGCTGTCCGGCTGACCAATAATAAATAATAAGAAGAAGAAATGGAGCAAAAGCAATTATATGTCCTCAAAGTTTGTTTGGGGGATATAATTAAGTACATTTGTACTGTATGACTATAGGAATATAAATGAGCATTACAAGGTGTCATTTCTTAGTATTCTAGCCTATATATATATATTACAATGATGGTAAATGAACTATTTTTTATGAAGGTATACCAGCCTTAATGCCTTATTTTAGACCAAATTTGTTACCTGTCTTTTTAATAAGTAAAGTGAAGTTCAATACATGTATATATACATTTATTACCTGTCTCAACCAATGGTGTTAAAATGGGGGCATGCGCACGGACAATATAATCTAATTCCTGATGGGGGTTTGCATTGTATTGTAAAATGACTAAACCTAACGTTCGCGGACGTGTGTCCAGACTGTCCCACAGAACTCTGGCCTTGCGATTTGGAGTTCCATAAAAGACAAGTCTTTAATGAGTTACAAATTGATAGCTTTCGGATCACTTGCTGACTTAGTTCGCACAGACCATAACAAAAAAGTAGACATGAGCGAGACCTAGTATACGTAGTAGTAGTAGTAACCGATATCTGTGTGCGCCTTTGGATTGCTGTAGCTAATATAAGCAGTAGCCCTGAATTATTCAAAACACATTATACATTGTATACTTGTTTTGTAATACTTACCCAGACACACCAGCAATACTGCTGCAGCAACCTCAATACGTGTCTGTAAACGGCCGTCCATGTTCAATTGCAATGGCTGCCAACAGTTCCAAATTTATAAAGCTACAGCTGTAACACGCCGATGAACGTCACGCTATTAAGTATTAAAGGGCGCCTACCATAACCAGGGTAGAGCGATGCACTGTGCAGGAACCTGAACGACAAGTCATACCACAGGGACATGAGAGTTTGCTACAGATATCTTTGGACCTACAATAAACTAAGGTATTCCAGTAATAATATACACGTTTAAGAGGTTTAATAAACACATTTTCGGTAAAAATGCCACACCAAACATATCTCAGTATCATTATTCAGTGAGCGTGGCGTTTTTAATGAAAGTTGATCTTAATCTTTAAAACAAGTAAAATAACTCTGTACACCTTAGTTTTGGCATAAACATATCTGTAACAAACTCTTAGGTCACTGTGCCATATACTAGCTATCTAGCTATTGACTAGACTAAATTTATGTTATTCCGCTATGCAATTTTCAACAGTGCCGACTGATCAATTTACTCATGGTTTGAATAAACACTAGGCCAAATACACAAGCAACACTGCACCACCAAATTCATTTTGTAAATTTATGTCTCCCTTCCTTTATGCCTCGACTCCATTCCTATAAATGAACGGATCCGTTCTGTTCTGTTATGGGTTCAAGTTGAATCAGAGGTTCTTCCTTGCAATGGCAAGCGTTCATTATCTGATGTAGCGTCATTAATCTATTTTCTGAAAACACAGAAAACGAAAGTGAAACTGATGCGCGTACGTGTTTTCATCTCACTTTTGACGAATGGCGAGACTTATTTAGTTTATTTGGGAATAACAAATCATTTGGAAATATCAATACTGTCAGACCATTCCGTCATGAAAATAAACCTGTTCCCTGTACCATGTACCCTGTACCCCGTACCGTGTATTTTCACAGCACAATTTAACCGGGGGTATTACCGTTTTGAAACCGTCGAAAATTTTTTTTTTGGGTCTTAATAGTAATTCTTTATACTGAAAATCTATATTCTTTAAAACATAAAAAAAATAATGTTCTTCTTGCTCCACTGAACGATTAGCACGATAAGGCCGGAAAATTGACAAAAAATATTTTCGCAACATATATATGTACTAAAAATTTGGAGCTTCGATATTTCTGGTTCTCTCTGGAAATACGTCTCACTACACACTTTTTGAAAGTATCTTAAGTTGTTTTCAGGGAATAGGACCAATTTCATGGAAATCTAACCACCATAGAGATAGTGGTTTCGCTCTTCGGCGCTAGCACATGACCTTCTATCCAACAATCTTATAAAGCATTTACTGACCTACTTTCAGTTGTGGTTCATATATAGTCAATGTGAATGCCCACTGCACATGCAACAGAAAAGAACTCTTACAAAACAAAACCAATATTGGGGAAAGTCAACCTTGTGATGAGAAAACCTGAAATTACTTGTTTTACTAACTTAACTACTGGATTTGCCAAACTGTCACAGGAATCACTGTACATGTATTGAAGAAACCTAAACTGTCAATATGGCTAATTAACATTCTCCAATTAGAGATACATCCATGTATTTGCTTTTGCACGTAGCTTATCACAAAAGTAATATTAGTGTATCATTTTATTGAACACATGACAAATATATATTCACGCAAGAGCGATAAGCATGCTTTAATGTAGGCCAGCAAGGATGATATAGAAATATGTTTGCAGTCCAAGTCCATTTTGAATGATATGCCTGTTTATGCAACTTGAGCTTTAAAAATACGCGAAAAACAGGCAAATGTTTAAAAGCTTATCAAACTTTTTTGGTGTGTAAAATTCTTAGTAGAAATGCTACTTTGGATAAGATACGTTTCTATCTTGAAATAAGAGCTACATTCAGGGTGAGCAAACTGTTCTTGCTCATAGTTGTTTTCTTTTATGTCCGATTATTAAATCTTTTAGCATCATAACACAGCCCTTTATTCAGGGAAACAATACTTATTTCATATTCATAAAAAGTAGAATATGTTCTCTCAACCCAAAGTTCACAATTAGTATATGGGGATATGAAATTTTCTATATCATTAAAAGTTTTATAACTGTAGAAAATAACAATTTTATAACAGTTTCTCTAATAAAAACATTTAGTAGTCGGACTAACTCCATACAAAAATAAACATTTTGTTGTTTAGAATGGTTGACTTTGCAATTTTGCCAAGAGTTTGAACACATTGGTTAATATCTTTTACCATAAATGGCATTGTCAGTATTTGGGGCATGCAAAGAAGAGATACTAAAATTATTTTAAATCTGTTTTTGCCTTTTTTATTGAGATTTCGTTACAATTTGGACTTAAAAATTATTGCAAATCAGCCCCATTTGCCAACTCTAGTTGATGTTTGTTTGTGTGGGAAAGCAACATAAGTATTATATGAAAATTAAAACATATCCAGTGTCGTACCGCTATTCTTTTAAATATTTTCATAAACCAATATTGCTTATGAGATTAGCTAATAGTACCCTTTTCTATCTGTTTAAGGTAACTTATAAGCTAACATCTTCAACTTGAAAATGCTTTTAAGCCATATTGATTGTTCAATATTTTTGCCATGTGGTGATTTTGAGGCAACTGGTTGGCACCTATGTCAGAATTGGGCCTATATAAGTCCATTGATCTTACTATATTCCTAAACTTTGCTCGATCAATGAAACTTATAATATAAGGATATCATACTTCAGAGTCGGTAAAATTCCAAAGAGGAGGATAAAGCATTTTCCCCAAGGTAGACTTGATTCTGTTACAAAGTGGATATTTATCATTGATTAAAAGAAACAAACACACACAAAAACAAAATGATAAATACATAAATAATGTTCCAATGAAATCGGTATATGGGTCATGTTTAGGGGTAGGATTACTTGATTAATTGTACATAAATTTACAATGTATTATTCACATTCAAATGGACAACCCTATATGTTTTTATCTCGCTTTCCTATGAAGAACACGCTGAGAGATTATAGGAAGTGAAGCTTATATAAATAAATGAACAATGGAGCAAATATCTAGAGACCTTCGTAACCCGCTTGGTAACTGGAGAACAGAACAAAGAGTATGGGCCGTTACAGATCCTCTGGAATCAATCGGGAGCCGTCAGCACTTTCCGTAAACGAGAAATTAGTAGAATTCTGTGTTAAGTGAAAAATCATCATAACGCAAATATTTTTCCACAAATCGAACTGAAATTTGATTCTGTATGTGTATTTTAATGCAAACAACTAATAGATATCTTCTGGTGACACTTACTTCAGTTATTGTATGGAGAGACAGTTTGAACACCCATATTTGAATCTGAAGCTTTCTTTATCGGACACTTTTGTGTTGATGGGTCGTTAGGAATTAGAAAATTATGATAATAATGGATTTGAAGCACAACTGTGACACGCCTTTGATCGGAAAAATTAAATTCCTCATAACTCAGTAAAATAGTATAACTTCAGGTGTAGTCAAATATTTTGTCTGTCCACTTGTAACTTGAAACGCTTGTTATCGCTTGAAGATGCCTTTACATAGTCAAGATCATATCTTTGAAAGCAAATCCATATTTTGGCAAAATTTACAACATGCATATATAATAATATAATTAAGGATTACCGACAGGTAAAACAGAAGAAACGTATACCAGAACGCGCGTGACACAAGTCCTTTGAGAAAAGGCTATATGTTTCTTGAAACAAAATTACTGAACGGACTATATATTTTAACATTACGTCAATACGTAGACTTGCACAAGCTCCAGAACCTGAGACAAACGATCAGAATGGACTTCGCAAGATGAAAAAAAACATCCACATTGATTGAAATATAAGGATTGAATCTTGCTTTGGTCGATTTCATTGGATGATGAATTGAATTGGTCTTTAAAAAAATTCAACAAGAACTGCTTCGCAGTTCCTTAAATTTGTTTTAAGACCAACCCAATTCATCACCCCATGAACTCGACCAAAGCAAGATTCAATCCTTAAATGAAACAGGTTACATTTGGTAGTTGCATTGAGTCCAACTTGAGTAGGAATTGAAATATTTAAAAATGTCTCTTTGAGAGTTCAACAGTAGAGATATTGAGCAGCACCGGAAGGAACCACGTGGCGATGAGGAAGGGACATTCCACTTGGGGACTTCCCACGGATAAAAGCAGGGAGCCTCAGCAGCAGCACTAGCATTCTTAAAAGGGTCAAGTCATGGTAGATGAAAGAAGACCAGGGAAAAAACTAATGTTTTTGGACGTGATGCAGGCAGCGTTACATCACGATGCGGTGATGTGGTTTGTCGAAACCAGACAGGCCATAGTCATCGAGCTTACTGTATTTTGAGAAGTACGATCTAAGAGAGTAACTATACAGAACTCATGGAACATTGTAGGAAGCAAGGGTGGCCCATTGGCTGTATCCCATGGAAGATGGACTCGAAGATATGTTCAGACTTTGGGCTTGGCGGAGAAGACACGCAAGAAAGTTGTCGTTCGCAGATTAGACGAGGCTTCAAAACGCGAAACATGCTGACAGTAGAGCGGGCGGGAGGAGAAAGACTGGAAGTCATCCTTTGCAGGCAGTGAGTCGATCGCCACTGTCCACCCAGGCCATCACCACGAGAGCGTTCCGGGACAAGGTTTGAAACGTCAGGAGACTAATGGACCCGGCTGATGATGTCAATGGATCTGCATGTTATACTGTATCATAGGAACATACGAACAGTGTCAGATTCTGATGTTTTTAAACACGCGTATATGTATGTTATGAAGCATGCGCACAAACTGAATCTTACAAGTTGATATGAACGCACGCATACATTGTAGTTTATATAAGATATGCAATGAAATTCAGATACAATTTATCCAACCACGAACTTAGATAGCATATATAATATATAAATCTTCTATTCTTAACTTGACGCTTTTCTTTATTGTAAAATAAAGAAGTAGATTTTCAATATTAATGTGTGTTTCCCGACCCCCCCCCCCCCCAAAAAAAACCCCGACCAAGGCAGTTTGAAGTGATAAAGACGGGATCCGCCCCCACCCCCTCTTCATAACCCCATTTTTCAGCCATCAAACATTTGTTTAAAATCCCCTAAAAAGTGTTATATAAGCTCGTTTTTAGAGACAGCTTTCTATAAAAAAAATAACGAGCGATTAAAAAAAATATGCATCTCCCAAACACAATAATAATTACAGGACAAACGTTAAACATCTGTCTCTCTCTGGGGCTGCAAATCAATATATTCTTTAAACGTAACGTTAAATGATTACAGAGACGTACGTTATAACGTCACTGTACCCAAATTGGGACACTTTTTAGATACATATCAATGATGTTCTTTATACTACACTATCAATTCCAAAAATGTTTGTTCATTTTTCATAAATAGATACTATCCACTTTTCATTTCTATCACAATTCGATATTTCTGGCGCGTGGTTCTATAAAAAGAACACGAAATAACCGGCGTGTCTGTACCCTGAAAGGAACACTTCCGGTATTTTGGCGAATATTTGGGGATAAACGATCAATATCGACAGATAATAAGCATAGTTGAAATATTTTAGAGTCAACGAGGGTTCTGATTAAATTTCTTCTCCAAACTAGCATTTTGATAAAATAGACTTTTGAAATGATATCCAAATAAATAGCGTCGGGAAAGTCTTTTTGGTAACTATTCTTACCTTTAGATTGTCCATGTAATAATAATAATCAGACAATAAATCTAAATACAGTTTAATTGTCATGAAAAGTATTATCAAATGAAAACTGTATGTACATAAAAGTACTTCTTTGCATTAAATGACAATTTATTGGGCCGTTTTCCCACAAGTGTCCCGTTTTGGGTACTGTCCCGATTTGGGTACAGTGACGGTAGATATCGTGTTATATATAGGTATCCGATGATCGTAAGAGGATAAGGTGTGCAACAGTTTTGGGTGTCTCATTTTTTGTTTGAAAAATAATTTGAAAAATATACTGGAAATTGTTCGATTTTTTGTGTGTGTACAAGAATGATAAAAGAAAACCCACTGTAAGATAGCTCTTAAACGAAAAAGATATCTTTCTCATAAAATATATGAACTATCATGTAAAAATATACGAGAAACTAGCAAGTTGCATTTCTGTTTGGGGCTCAATTCTAACTCATGTATAATTCACTTGTAAAGTGAAAGTATAACTTTAATTTCAGAGAGTTATTTCCCTTATTAACAAAATGGCTGCGCCTATGAGGGTGCGGGCACCAAGGTTGTGTCAGATTTGTAAATGTTTTCCGTCATCCTTTTTACGGTGCTCGTCATCTACAACGTCCAAAAGGTAAGAAAACATTACAGAAACATATCATTATAAGGATATATAGGTCTAATCATCTTTGAGATATTGACGGTAACGTATCGACACCGCAGGATTCAATAAAGAACTGCTATAACCAAGTAGTTTCTAAATATAGCATACTGTACCATGGTGAAGTATATACTGCCTTTGTAAAGTGTTGTTATTTGACACGTTCATTGGTTTGGTTAACTAGGCATTTGACTGACATAACGACAACGACATCTAGTCCTTGGCAACATTGCTTTTATCGTCTAGTTATAGGTTTCCGCGCGTTATATATTTCCGCGCAGTCATTTTATCATGCTATATCTCATTACAACGTGACCTATTGGTTACTACACGAGGATATAATCTCAGCAGAGACGTATAAAGCCAGAGTGTGTTATATACGTCTCTGATCTCAGTGATAAATCTATTTTGATGGGACGCAAAGCATTTCTGGAAATATATAATTTAAACAATGTTTACATCTATTTGTGGAACCCATTTTTTTAGCAATACAGTTGAAAAGGACCCATTACAAAAGGTTGTAGATTGATCACTGTAAGCTACTTGTTGTGCAAATGTCTCTAACAGTCCAAGGAGTGTATCAGGAGAGGAAAAATGCACAGCCAGAACTTTGGACAGAACCTCCGAACTGTGTCAAAGATGGACGCTTTATCAATTGAGTTATCTGGTCGCCGACAATCGACCCAGTCCAGTTCCTCTACATTCCTCCCTTCTTTTTCTAAGTCTTCGGCCCCGAACGAGTATCCCCTTGCCAAGCATATGCATACACCAAATGCTTGAAACAAGGGTTGGTCACAGGCACCTGACTTAAGTAAGTTGTAACAGGAGAGGAAAAGTGCACAGCCAGACCAAGGTTTGAACCCAGGACCCTCTGAACTCTAGATGGAAGCTCATCAGCTACCAATAAGCTATCTGATCGCCGACAATTGACCCAGTCCAGTTCCGCTGCATTTGGATACCTGTTCAAGATAATTATATATATAAAGCTAGGTTAAAAGTGCAGCAATTTTTTGCTACTCCTCTAGATCTGTAGCCGTCTCTAAAGCATCCTTGAATGATTTCAAAAAAGCTGCTGTTACTATAATGTTATCTGGAATAGGGTGTTCCACTAGGCGACAGATCTCACGAAGACGGGGTTCTGAAGGTAATTGGTATATGGTGGTGATACAAGATAGCCCATTGAGTTATTTGGCATGCAGGTGTGGGTCTGAGTGAGGTACATGTACATCAACCTTCTTGTTGACTAAAACGTTAACCGATCCATAGATATCTTACACATCATCACCAACCTTTGATATCTTCATCTCAAGTCTGCAATGAAATGTGGATCTCCTCTTTATTAGTAATTTTTTTAAGAGAAGGAGATATCCGCTTATTATGGCGGATTAGTCAAAGGCAACTGTACTCTGCACACTAGATACTTGCATAAACTTTAAATACAAAATGGTACTTCATCCCCTCCCCCTCCCCATAAACATGTACATATATATATGTATTTGGGTATATATAAATTTTGAATACAGGTACCACATTTTGATTACCACAATGTTCTGTCTCAGTCTATACCATGGAGACATATGAATGTACACGACTACAAATGGATTATTAATATGCACTTAGCCAAAGAAAAGAATTGTAACAAATTTATCAAATACAATTATTTTTATTATATCATTATATCATTATATCATATATCATATATCATTATATCATATATCATTATATCATTATTGTAATTTTTCAGGAAATGGGAAGGTGTTGTGGGACTAGAAATCCATGCTCAGATTCTTGCAGAAAGTAAACTCTTCTCTGGAGCTTGCACTAAGTTTGGTGGGACTACAAATAATCAAGTATCTCTGTTTGATGCGGCCTTTCCTGGAACTCTTCCTGTAAGTATTCTGTTATTTTTTTTTGTATTTGTTTTATTTTTCAGATTTTTTTTTTATACAATGCAAAGTACATTAGTAATAGCTGAAAATCTCACACACACTAATCTTGCTTCCACTTTCACACACACAATTATCGATTGTCATTTTAATACATTTTTCCAATGTTTACATTTACATTGCATTTGTATAAGGAAAGCAGAAAAGGGAAAGGTTAATAAAAAGAAAATTAGACAGAGGATGAAAAAAAGACAAGGACAAAACAGAGAGAGAGAGAGAGAGAGAGAGAGAGATAAAGAGAGAGAGAGAGAGAGAGAGATGTCAGGCAATCAGTAGTAAATATCTATATATCTATATGTATAACTAGCATATGAAAACAGGAGGGAGTAAAGAGCATGTGTTGTCAGCTGCAAATGTCAATATATGAATAGTAATAGCTAAACAGAATATTTTGATGTCTTTAGATAGGAAAAATGGATACAAAACAACTCATATACTAGTGTCCAATAATATTACATATCATAACTGTAAACAGTATTCTTAAAATAAAGTTCAGCAAATTGAAGATTCAGGAGATATTTATTAACTTTTGCCATTTTTTCCAATTATTTTAAAAGTGTTATTATATTTGTCATCTTTACCTGTTGCAATGTATTTTTGTGTAACTTAGTTGTCCTTGATTGCTTTTTTAAGACCATTTATAGATAAATTGGTTTGTAGGCATCTTGCTGAATAAATATATTGTTTCATATTCAAAATAATTGTACTGTCTATTGGTGTTCTTATTCCATCTTGATTATATAGTCCAAAGATAAAAGTCTCCTTATTGTAAGCAAAAGGGATCATTAAGGCATCTAATAAAAACTCAAAATTTTGTAACATAACCTGCACCTTATCACATTCCCATAGGGTATGTTCTATTGTTTCAATATCAGTTTTACATGAGTTACAATAAGGACTATCAGCTATTCCTGCCTTAAATAAGAATGAGTTTGTTGTCAAAATGTGTTGATTGATTCTGTATTGAAGCCACTGTAATTTTGAATTTTTGGTTATATGAAAAGGCATTTTATATATTTTTTTCCATGTTTCATTATCAAAATTAAAAACTTCATCCCATTTTTTTCTTCCAGTTGATATTGTATTATTTTTATTGAGTAAATAATAAAAATCTTGTGTCCCTTTTTTACTGCGGAAAAGTATTTCTAGATTAATTGGTATGAAAGGATAGATAGGACATGGTAAATCTTGTTTCTGTATATGTTTTCGAATAGCTGAAATAAGTCCTTGGTAATTAAGAAAGTTTGTATTTATACCAAAGAACTGTTGAAATTCCTGAAAAGAGTAAAACGAATTAGTGTCTTTATTGATTAAATCGCTAATAATAATAATTCCTTTATTGTACCAATCCCGATAAAAAATACTCTGATTATCTATTTTAATTACATTATTATACCATATTGGTGTTTTGGCCAATTTATCTGGAGATTGATATGAATAGTGTTTATTTGATAAGTTTATCCATGCTTCAAAAACATCTTTCCAAAATAAATTCTTACAGTTATTGTGACATATTGAAATATACTCAGTTCCACAGTTAGCCAAAATATGATCATCAACAGAAGTTCTTAGAATAATTTGCCATTTACTTGGACTTGTATAGAGTCTCCTTAACCATGTTAACTTTAGAGATTCAATGAAAGACTTTACATGTAACATTTTTAGACCTCCGTCAATGTATTTTTTAACAGTTATATCTCTTTTCACTTTATCTATTTTACTTTTCCATAAAAAACAGTACAGTTCTGTGTTTAACTTTTTCAGGAAATTCTCATCTGGGTTTGGTAAAGAGATAAAGAGATGATTAAACTGAGAAATTAATAGTGCCTTTATAATATGGATTCTACCTATTGGTGTCAAAATTCTTCTTTCCCAAGTTCTAATAAGGGCCTTTATCTTAACTAGTTTTTTATCATAATTCAGTTTAGGTATTCGGTGAAGGTCAACATGAAACTCAATGCCTAAAAGTATAAATTTTTGATTTCCCCACTGTATATTCAATTCAGGGTACACAACTTCATCACTATATTTTTTACTCCCAATCCAAATAGCCTGTGTTTTAGAAACATTTATTTTTAATCCAGATATTTTTGCAAAAGTTTTTAGTTCATCAATTGATTCTTTTAGTGATTTCTCTGTTCCATCTAAAATCAGTGAAGTGTCATCTGCATATTGAGACAGTAAAATAGGACTATTATCAATATCAATACCTTTTATATTTTTATTGTTCCTTATTCTAATGGCTAAAATTTCAGCACACATTATAAATATATATGGTGCGATGGGGTCCCCCTGCCTACAGCCTCTTTCAATTTCGAAAAATGGAGACAAATTTCCCCCTTGATTAATAGCTGAACTTGACTTTTTTTGTAGAATTTTGACCCACTTTTTTATATCTTCACCAAAATTAAAATAATCCAGAACTTCATCAATAAACTTCCAAGAAACAGAGTCAAAAGCTTTTTCAAAATCAATGATTAACAACATTCCAGGTATATTCCTATCTTCCGCATATTGCATGATATCGTATACAATTCGAGTGTTTTCCCCAATATAGCGCCCTGCAATAAATCCTGTTTGATCTGTATTAATTATTTTATTTAAAACTGTTTTTATTCTGCTAGCTATTGATCCTGATGCAATTTTATAAATAATATTAAGTAAAGAAATTGGTCTCCAATTTTTAAGATATTGTCGAGGCTTATCTCCCTTAGGTATACATGTAATTATGCCCTGTCTTTGTGTGATTGATAATTGACCCTGATTGAACCCAAAATCAATTGATTTGACTATAAAAGTACCTAGTTGTTTCCAAAAGCATTTAAAAAATTCTACTGTATACCCATCAGAGCCTGGGCTTTTATTTTTTTCATAGTTTTTAAAGTATTTGAAGCTTCATTGAGAGTAATTATACCTTCTAGTTTGTTAGATTCTATATTACTTAATTTTGGAATATCAATATCTTTTAAAAAATCATCTATATGAACATCTTCTATATCATTATCAATTGTATACAATTTTTCATAAAAATTTCTTACCTCATCAAGAATTTCTACCTGCTTTGTTATTTTATCGCCATTGTCTTTCTCTATCATCGGTATTAACTTCGAGGTGTAATTTCTGTTTTCTAGGTTAAAAAAATAATTTGTTGGCTTTTCACCTTCTTCTACCCATTTAGCTCTAGATCGGATTATACTACCTTTTAATTTATGTAATCTGATATTTTGTAATTCCTGTTTTTTTTCGTTCACTTTATCTATATCAACATCACTACTATCTTCTAGTTTACGTATAGTATCTGTAAGATTATTTTCATTTAAATTCTGTTGTTTTTTCTTATATGAAGAGTGGTTAATGGTTTTGCCTCGAATTTCAATTAAAAGTGTTTCTAAAAAAAGTTGATCGCTTATTATGAATTGTATATCAGAATCAGGAATATTATTGATGTTTTCTAAAAGATACACTGGGAGAGCATATTGTCTTTTAATGTCTAAAATAAGTTTATTAATAAGTTCTAGGTAGTCTAAGTCATACAAGAGTGAATTATTAAATTTCCATAATCCTTTACCTTTCTTAAATTCATTAAATTTTAAAGCAATAATAGGAAGCGAATGATCAGTTCTATAGCCTGGCTCGATATTTGAATAATGAATACTTGGTAATAAGCTTTCTGAAATAAGAAAGAAATCTAAACGAGCTTGTTTAACAGGGTTACTTCTCCTCCAAGTGTATCTTTTGTGCTCCGGATGTTGTTCTCTGTATATATCTACCATTCCCAACTCTTCTATAATTTCAATTACTTTATCTCTGGCTTTTGTGTTGTTTATATGTTTATAGCTTTTATCATAGTCCAATTTAGGGTTCAAAATTAAATTAAAATCACCACATATTATATAAGATTCATTGCCAAATGCATTAATAGTATCTGTTAAATTTTCATAAAAAGCTGGATTGTCTGAATTAGGGCCATATAATGTTATTAAAGTTACTTTTCTACCTTCTATCTTCAAATCAAGAGCCAGAAAATTCCCAATCAAATCCCTTCTTTCCTGCATTACCTTTACTTCAAAATTATTATTAAAAAATATTGCTACCCCCCTTGCATTTGATCTAAATGAATTAAAATAGCATTCATAACCCCATTCTGCTCGAACTATATTTTCAATATCATGAGTGAAATGTGTATCCTGTAAACAGAAAATATTATAGTTTTTATTTTTCAAGTAAGAAAATACATCTTTTCTTTTATTTCTATCTCCTAAACCTTGGCAATTTGCTGATATTATTTTTATACCATCAACAAATCAGTTGTATAAACAGCTTATACTCACTCAACATATATATGACACTGCCTAGGACAACGGGAGAAGACACGAGAGGGCCCCATGCCAGGATAGTAATTATAATGACACTGACACAAAAGAAGAAAGGAGAAAGAAGCATTGATAGACAGAAGGAAAAGACACAGAAAAACATATAAATGTGGTCAAACGAAACTGACACACTATCAACTATACATAATCATAATCTATTTGTTTACCTATAATCTTACACCTCGTGCATTCTTTCCAATTTCATCCATTCTTTCACTCCTTATTTGCTACATGCGTCTAGTAAGCACACCGGAAGTCAACAGTACGACTATAGTTTTACAAAATGAAACCAACTCCAGATTATAGTATCCGTCATGCTATATATATTTATACACAACAAACCACAAGCAAATATGAAAGCAAATTCACTAGAGATTACATGCTTATAAAATACCTTTATATTATTTTTTATATATTTCATGTAAAATGATATATGTTGAATCTTTTTCATTTTAATATTGAGGGGAAAAGAATGTGTTTATATTGGACGAGACAGAGATATACAGCCTCTTGGCAAACAATCCGGAAGAATTATAGTAGATTTCATTTTATTTTGATTTTTTTTTTCAATTCCGCACATTACAATAGCAACATAGTATTTCTTTGATCTAATAAAATATAAAAAATAAAAATTTAAATATCGAAATCACTCATAGAGCAGAGCTATGAATTTTCGACTTGCACAGCTTTTAGTAATATAATTTTTTACCTAGAAAACCAACTCGGTACTAATAAAAAAATCAATCTGTGGTCACAAAGTGACTATAATCGATCATCAACGATGAAATCACAACCGAATCCCAAAAACAATATATGTATATATAAATTTATTTTTTAATAATAGCATTGTCTTTTGTTAACTATAGTGTATATGATTAATTGATTCAAAAAGATGGGACATCTATGTGGTATCTATTTGGTTTCAATTCACTTGTAAATGTTACAATAAAAAAAAGAAAAAAGAATAAAGGACTACACATACATGTTGGTTTAAACTTAGCAACAGTTCAGTTTACAAACAACGTAAATACATATACTGACTTGCTACTAAATATGTATGCACATGTTTCTTTTTACATTGATTCAATACAAATCTCACCAATAACGGCCAACATTATAAATGTAATCATTGCATCGACGGTTCTTTTCACATTCCATAGTACATAGTATTATGTATATATACAAAAACCAACCTATGTATTACACGTACATGTTTTAATGTGTTAAAAAATATTTGCCTATTTATACATGGAAATACTATACTTGTTTTTAAGCATGTCCGAGTATATGTATTTTACCTAGTGCATACATGTATGTACTGCATATTGTCGAAAATCATTGACTTTTTATTATATTAGCTTATAGACACAATAATCTTTCTATCGGATTCATCCCACACACACAAGAAGTATGACTACATATCATTTATACCTATATACATAGTCTACCATCAACATTTACATACATACATATGAATGATTACATTACTCAATCGCTGTTCAGTCTACCATACTACAAACTTTCAAACTTCAGCCGGAAGTCAACAACCTGTCCGGAAGTTTGCGCACATATATAATAATATGAAACCTGGAACGAATGCGGACTAAAGGTAGCAAAAATAAAACGTATCTGATATTAGCTTGTAAAGTATCACCAAGCCATATGAAACGAATACACAATATGAATCATATAATGTCATTATCTGATCAATCTATATATGCACATAATTATATATGTTATAATCATTTTTCTTAATAATGTTTTTTTTTTGTACATAGAAAAGTCACTGATTTCACAGATAAGTTCACTTACGGGTAAAATTGTCATCGTTCATCAGGAAAGCCTCAGTCATGATCGTGTTGTATTGAATTCTCCGTTTTCTCCCGTTTTTCAGTAACACAAACAGTTTCCCATCAGTGCTCCAGGATCTCTCAACACACCTGAGCTCAAAAGCCTCTTTAAGTCTCTGTTGATTGATCCTGGTAAGGTCCTCCATAATGTAGCATCGTGTTCCCTTCAGTAGTTTCCTCTGTTTGATGATCTCAAATTTTCTCCTACGGTGGGTAAACTTACAGATGATATTTCGAGGTTTACCCCGCTGGTACACACCAAGTCTATGGGCTATGTCGATGTCTGCCTCAACAATTGTGACATTCAGTTTGTCATATACAAATTTCACAATCTTTTCAACACATTCCTCAACAGTTTCATTCTTGTTGGAATCCTCAAGTCCCACTATTCGAATAGTGTTTTTCCTTCCATGCTGTTCAAGATCATTCAGTTTATTGTCCTGTTCACATTGCCTATCTTCAGATTCTCCCAAGTGTTGCTCCAATTTGCTAACTGTCTGTTTCAAATCATCATTCTGTTCCTCGAGATCAAAAACACGACTCTCAAGTCTTTCAACAAGTTCTCTGTTTTCCTTTTTGATATCCTCTCTTAGAATTATCATCTGTGAGTGTATGTCCTCTTTGAGCGTTGATAGGATAACATAAATATTATCCAGCTTTTCGTCTGTAGACATTTTCCCCCTTGAGATGTCACTAAGTCTTCCAGAATGAGGACCCTTCGACTGTCCTTTACTATTGCTGGTGCTCGCACTTCTGGTAGAAGTCATTTTCACTTCAGACAAAAATACACTTGTTACAATAAATATAGATGTTCAATACAGGTGTAAAGGTGTACAGGTAAGTGTCAACTAGTACACTGCAGTATAGCTGATAGTGGTCAGTAGTGTGGTCTGAACCATGGTGAGTTCTGGTCTGTCTCTAAATATTTGGATCCTCAAAACACGATAAATGCACACAAATTTGCACTTAAAACACCACAGGCGCAATATATAATGTCTCTTACATGTACAGAGCAAAATTCTTAATGAAAGTTGCAGTATTTGATATGTGGTTACAAAAACTGCTGGAGAGACCAAAACACCACGTCTTGTTGGGTCCTCTGCGACCTTGACCTCTCTTCTGTTATATTATCAACAGTTTGAGTATACATCTGACACTTGGGATAAAGATCATACCAAAACAGCATTGCTTTCAGTATTTTCTCAAATGCTTATTGTTTTAAAAAAATAAAATAAAAAAGAAGTATTTAATAGATTTTTTATTTTTTATTTAGATTTGTCTGAGATAACGTAATGGTTTTACATATCTGATGATTAACTTTATAATTTGTACATATCCTTGCAGGCTATCAACAGGAGATGTGTAGAGGCGGGGGGCCAGACTGCTCTTGCTCTCAACTGTCAAATAAACAAAGTGTCAAAGTTTGATCGTAAACATTACTTCTATGCAGACCTGCCAGTGAGTTCAATTTTATGGAATAAATTTACAAGAATTATATCTGTGATCACGTTTTTAACAATACCACCATGTCTTAATCGATTATATTCTAATTTTAAACATGGAGACTGATTAAGGTAGAAGTAAACTAAAAAAATAAATGGAATATTTTATTTTTCAACCAAGAAAGGATTTTTATACCAACATGATGGAAAGTCTATTAAATTTTGCTGATTAGGAATTATAATTATGAAAGAAAACTGTTTACAAGAGCTTGCATTGATATGAGGATACAAAGACAACTGTATATTACATGTATATATATATAATTAGATTTAATCAGAGACATGCTTGTATTTTGTCCACAGGCTGGTTACCAGATTACTCAATTGAGACAGCCTCTAGCCAAACAGGGATCCCTCAGGTTTCCCATTTTAAGAGGAGACATCTCTCCAAAATGTCCTTTAGATTATATGACTGTGAGACTGGAACAAATACAGTTAGAGCAGGATAGCGGGAAGAGTATTCACAATGAGGATGATAAACAGAGTCTTATAGATTTAAACCGGGCAGGTAGGTGTTTGTGTTGTTCTGATGGAGATAATGTCACTTCAATGTTTACATGAGTTGTAGGTGTTGTTCTGATGGAGATAATGTCATTTCAATGTTTACATCTATTGTAGGGGTTGTTCTGATGAAGATAATGTCACATCAATGTTTACATGTATTATAGGGGTTATTCTGAAGAGAATGTCACATCAATGTTTACATGTGTTGTAGGGGTTGTTCTGATGGAGATAATGTCACATCAATGTTTACATGTGTTGTAGGGGTTATTCTGAAGATAATGTCACATCAATGTTTACATGTGTTGTAGGGGTTGTTCTGATGGAGATAATGACACATCAATGTTTACATCTATTGTAGGGGTTGTTCTGATGGAGATAATGTCACATTAATGTTTACATCTATTGTATGGGTTGTTCTGATGGAGATAATGTCACATCAATGTTTACATCTATTGTAGGGGTTGTTCTGATGGAGATAATGTCACATCATTGTTTACATGTGTTGTAGGGGTTATTCTGAAGATAATGTCACATCAATGTTTACATGTGTTGTAGGGGTTATTCTGAAGATAATGTCACTTCAATGTTTACATGCATTGTAGGGGTTGTTCTGATGGAGATAATGTCACATCTATGTTTACGTCTATTGTAGGGGTTGTTCTGATGACAAAGTCACATCAATGTTTACATGTGTTGTAGGGGTTGTTCTGATGGAGATAATGTCACATCATTGTTTACATCTATTGTAGGGGTTGTTCTGATGACAATGTCACATCAATGTTTACATGTGTTGTAGGGGTTGTTCTGATGGAGATAATGTCACATCAATGTTTACATCTATTGTATGGGTTGTTCTGATGGAGATAATGTCACATCATTGTTTACATCTATTGTAGGGGTTGTTCTGATGACAATGTCACATCAATGTTTACATGTGTTGTAGGGGTTGTTCTGATGGAGATAATGTCACATCAATGTTTACATGTGTTGTAGGGGTTGTTCTGATGGAGATAATGTCACATCAATGTTTACATGTGTTGTAGGGGTTGTTCTGATGGAGATAATGTCACATCAATGTTTACATGTGTTGTAGGGGTTGTTCTGATGGAGATAATGTCACATCAATGTTTACATGTGTTGTAGGGGTTGTTCTGATGGAGATAATGTCACATCAATGTTTACATGTGTTGTAGGGGTTGTTCTGATGGAGATAATGTCACATCAATGTTTACATGTGTTGTAGGGGTTGTTCTGATGGAGATAATGTCACATCAATGTTTACATGTGTTGTAGGGGTTGTTCTGATGGAGATAATGTCACATCAATGTTTACATGTGTTGTAGGGGTTGTTCTGATGGAGATAATGTCACATCAATGTTTACATGTGTTGTAGGGGTTGTTCTGATGGAGATAATGTCACATCAATGTTTACATGTGTTGTAGGGGTTGTTCTGATGGAGATAATGTCACATCAATGTTTACATGTGTTGTAGGGGTTGTTCTGATGGAGATAATGTCACATCAATGTTTACATGTGTTGTAGGGGTTGTTCTGATGGAGATAATGTCACATCAATGTTTACATGTGTTGTAGGGGTTGTTCTGATGGAGATAATGTCACATCAATGTTTACATGTGTTGTAGGGGTTGTTCTGATGGAGATAATGTCACATCAATGTTTACATGTGTTGTAGGGGTTGTTCTGATGGAGATAATGTCACATCAATGTTTACATGTGTTGTAGGGGTTGTTCTGATGGAGATAATGTCACATCAATGTTTACATGTGTTGTAGGGGTTGTTCTGATGGAGATAATGTCACATCAATGTTTACATGTGTTGTAGGGGTTGTTCTGATGGAGATAATGTCACATCAATGTTTACATGTGTTGTAGGGGTTGTTCTGATGGAGATAATGTCACATCAATGTTTACATGTGTTGTAGGGGTTGTTCTGATGGAGATAATGTCACATCAATGTTTACATGTGTTGTAGGGGTTGTTCTGATGGAGATAATGTCACATCAATGTTTACATGTGTTGTAGGGGTTGTTCTGATGGAGATAATGTCACATCAATGTTTACATGTGTTGTAGGGGTTGTTCTGATGGAGATAATGTCACATCAATGTTTACATGTGTTGTAGGGGTTGTTCTGATGGAGATAATGTCACATCAATGTTTACATGTGTTGTAGGGGTTGTTCTGATGGAGATAATGTCACATCAATGTTTACATGTGTTGTAGGGGTTGTTCTGATGGAGATAATGTCACATCAATGTTTACATGTGTTGTAGGGGTTGTTCTGATGGAGATAATGTCACATCAATGTTTACATGTGTTGTAGGGGTTGTTCTGATGGAGATAATGTCACATCAATGTTTACATGTGTTGTAGGGGTTGTTCTGATGGAGATAATGTCACATCAATGTTTACATGTGTTGTAGGGGTTGTTCTGATGGAGATAATGTCACATCAATGTTTACATGTGTTGTAGGGGTTGTTCTGATGGAGATAATGTCACATCAATGTTTACATGTGTTGTAGGGGTTGTTCTGATGGAGATAATGTCACATCAATGTTTACATGTGTTGTAGGGGTTGTTCTGATGGAGATAATGTCACATCAATGTTTACATGTGTTGTAGGGGTTGTTCTGATGGAGATAATGTCACATCAATGTTTACATGTGTTGTAGGGGTTGTTCTGATGGAGATAATGTCACATCAATGTTTACATGTGTTGTAGGGGTTGTTCTGATGGAGAGAATGTCACATCAATGTTTACATGTGATGTAGGGGTTGTTCTGATGGAGATAATGTCACATCAATGTTTACATCTATTGTAGGGGTTGTTTTGATGGAGATAATGTCACATCATTGTTTACATCTATTGTAGGGGTTGTTCTGATGGAGATAATGTCACATCAATGTTTACATCTATTGTAGGGGTTGTTCTGATGGAGAGAATGTCACATCAATGTTTTCATGTGTTGTATGGGTTGCTCTGATGGAGATAATGTCACATCAATGTTTACATCTATTGTAGGGGTTGTTCTGATGGAGAGAATGTCACATCAGTGTTTTCATGTGTTGTATGGGTTGCTCTGATGGAGATAATGTCACATCAATGTTTACATCTATTGTAGGGGTTGTTCTGATGGAGAGAATGTCACATCAGTGTTTACATGTGATGTAGGGGTTGTTCTGATGGAGATAATGTCACATCAATGTTTACATGTGTTATAGGGGTTGTTCTGATGGCGATAATGTCACATCAATGTTTACATCTGTTGTAGGGGTTGGACTTATGGAGATAATTACAGCCCCTGATCTAAGTTCTGGCTTGGAATCTGTGTCATTTCTTCGAGAACTCATTGGAATTCTTACCACAGTATCTACCTGTAACTGCAAAATGGAAGGTACATGTAATTGGATTCTGTTTTCTTTGGAACAAAATAATTTTGAATCAAAAAGACTTGTCAAGAACTTGTTTTAAACTGACACTGAGATAGTAATAATTTCTGATCTATGTAGCAGGTTAACGAAAAATGTACCACATAATAAAAAGGATCTTTTCTTGTTCAGAAAATGAGCATATGAAATAATGGAAATAGAAAACAACTTCATCACGCTGATTTAACCAATGTTAGGAGAATGTAGGTTTTTGTGATGTAACACTATATTCTACAACCCTTTCACCACTGTAGACCATAATGGACTCATCCATATCAATGCATGGTAGAGTCTTCTCAAGTTACATAGGGGTGAAAGGGTTAACAGGAATAGGACATGCTGAGTGGATGGAATCTTTTGGTTATACAGTTTATTTTGTTTTGTGTCCAGAGGGATCATTTCGAGTGGATGCTAACATCTCAGTTCATCAACCTGGAGAACCTCTCGGTACTAGAGTAGAAGTGAAAAACCTAAACAGTATTCGAAGTGTAAAAAATGCCATAGGTAGGTTGAGTTGCTGATAAATGATAAAGTGAACTTTGGTGAATTCCATCTTTTCATTAGTCATTTGGCTCAGTGAGTTGTGTAAGCTCACAAAAATTACCCTAAATAACCAATAACCAAATTTTACAATCACAATGTATGCAGTATGATGAAGAAATTTTGACCTCAAAAAGAGATTGTGAAACTAGCCGATGTTAGAGTGTTACTGTCTTAATTAGTTTATATTTTATTAAGGATGCAACAATTACCCTCTAGCTTGTCATATAATTAATTCTAAACAGTAATTATTGATATTGATGAATAATATAGTTGTTATTTTCAACTAAACCAGTACGTGAAACATAAAGGAGAGTGTCTAGTTTTCATGAAAAAATTTGTGTGAAATCCACAGACTATGAAATAAGGCGCCAAAAACAGCAGTTACAGCAAGGCAAGCAGATTATCAACGATACTAGATCTTGGGATGTATCTGCAGGGTAAGTAAAATGTCTGTTAAGACTAGTCTAACAGTCTACAGGCTTTCCCATGTATTGAAATTTTGTTTGATAGTTTTGTTGATTGTTTAAAAAAATCCAGTCAACCTTGACAATTCTTCCCTCATTGCCCTGTTTTAACACTTAAAACTGTTATCTTTCTGTCTTTAAGGATCCCTGTACCACTGTTTCAAACTGTTACTGTGCATCAAAATAGTTTTTGACAGTATGACTGAAGCATTGGTAAATCATTCCTGAAAAAGCAACCATACTTGATGAAGTAGAAAAAAAGGAATAAGATAAAAAAACAAAATTAAATTAGCAACAGTGTTTAATTCCAGGTGTAAATGCAATGGGGGGTAGACCGTGCAGGTTTCAAACCCTGGTCCTCCAATCTTTATACTGTGGCTAAAACTAATTAGACTACCTGGTCAACGATAGTAACCTGGACAAGTCAGGCTACAGTTGTATCCATAACAAAATTAAGGGGAGGCAAATACACACCCAAGTATACATAAAAACCACTTCAGTGGAACTCCATATTGTTTTGCCTGCAGTGGAACAGAAATCCCTAATGTGCTAATTCTTGTTCCAGTGGCGTCACCCTAGGCACCTCTGGTTAGCTTATTACAGTTCCAGAAAATAGATTGTTGTATCGTAACCCAAGGTGTGTGTAGGTCACAGGCCCATATAGGCTTCTTGTGCAAAAGGTGTAAGCCCTTCTAGGGAGGTCTGAGTTCATGCCTGTACTGTAATGCAGGCTAAACCATATGTTTATTTTGTTCAGCGAGCATTGTGAAGTTAAATGGAAATGCTTGTGATTCAACCAAATATTCAATTGATCATACGGCTCTAAGCTTACCGAAATCGCAATGATTAAGAAAATTAACCTTCAGGCAGTACTAAAAAAGGGGAGTATAAGGTAGACATTATATTATGTGAATAGTTTAAGGTAGACATTATATTACGTAAATAGTGTAAGGTAGACATTATATTACGTAAATAGTGTAGGGTAAACATTATATTACGTAAATAGTGTAAGGTAGACATTTTATTACGTAAATAGTGTAAGGTTGACATTATATTACGTAAATAGTGTAAGGTAGACATTATATTATGTGAATAGTGTAAAGTAGACATTATATTACGTGAATAGTATAAGGTAGACATTATATTACGTGAATAGTGTAAGGTAGACATTATATTACGTAAATAGTGTAAGGTAGACATTGTATTACGTAAATAGTGTAAGGTAGACATTATATTACGTGAATAGTGTAAGGTAGACATTATATTACGAAAATAGAGTAAGGTAGACATTATATTACGTAAATAGTGTAAGGTAGACATTATATTACGTAAATAGTGTAAGATTGACATTATATTAAGTAAATAGTGTAAGGTAGACATTATATTACGTAAATAGTGTAAGGTAGACATTATATTACGTAAATATCATTTTAAATTCCTGAATCATTGTCATGATAAGAAAGCATTCATTAGATTTCCGCTGTTTGTCTTTATTATGAAATAGTATGCATACGAAGGATTATGTATATTAGAAACAAATAATGCTTAGAATTCAATTTGAATCATGTTATTTTGAAATTTAAAAATATTTTTGTTCTGTTTTACTCAGTTAACCTTATCAGTTCTTTTGTTAGAACTGAGTTTTCTTTGAATCCTATTTAACAATAATGAACCATATGTCTTGTTACATGTATGTCTAGGCTCACCCTTCCTATGAGAGACAAGGAAATAGAACTGGATTACAGATTCATGCCGGAGCCAAACCTGCCACCACTGCATGTGTACGATAACACCTCTATTCCCGCAGGGCTTAATCCCTCACAGATAGTTAATATAGACGTCCTCCAACAGCAGTTACCTCCCCTACCCGCACAACAGAAACAAGATCTAGTGACAACTTATGGTTTACCAGAATTATATGCACATCGTATCGAGGTGAGGAGGTTGTTTAACTGTTGATTTACATACCTTGATGTATTGTTATGTAGAACAGTTGCTATATTAAATATTTAGTTACAGAGTTGATGTCACATGTTAAAAACCATTGTTTTCACTGCCTCAGTAAAGTGATAGCATAAATTTGGCTCAATCTGGGACCCTTGTGGCCTGTTGTTTCAAACTTTGTTCACGTTTACCAAAACACGTTGTGGTCCTGTGTTTTAAATTTCATACACTATTCATCAAAGTGATGTAAAATAATGCAGTGTTGTTTTCACTTTATTGTATTTAAAAGAAAACTCCTAATATACCAGTGATCAGGTTTTGAATGAATTTGGTATAAAGAGACCATCCCTGGGCCAACTGGGGACAATGTATAATTGATCTTATAATAGTAAAGCACCTTGTTATAGGCCCTAATAAGGGGTGTAGTCTCCCTGGTGGCAGAGGTAGAGCCCAATTGTGGAAATAGGGATTTACATTGTATCTTAAAAACCTCTCCTAAAATGTGAGTAAACAGATTCTGCGTAAATTTTGTATGCAGCATTTCAGGGATAACAGAATGAATTTTTTATGAATGAAGCGTGTCACTCCTGAGGTATAGGCAAGGGAATTCAAACTTGTATGTAAAGGTGGTAGTTTCCAGGGGGAGGGTATAGGTGAACATGGTTAAATAAAGCTTCGATAAAAGACATCCTGAAAATATGATGGCATGGTAAGCTTAATTTGGTATTGATCATTTCTGCAAAATCATGCAGATTCTTACTATTGAATGATTAATATTACAACTTATGTATTTGATTTGTTATGTGAAGTAATGTTATTAAAGACAAATAACTAAATGATAGCAAATATATTCAATGGAAGTCATGTAATAGGAGTTATCTCCCTTCCCTTATTTAACTTGCAAGTATTCTTGTGCGAGTAACAAGTTAAATACTATTTGCCCTTGAAATTTCAAATTCTTAAAAACTTTGCCTAATATATACTGAAGCCAATAAGATGTACATGTAGCAATGTATATGTGAAAAAAATCTTTGTTTGTTACTCAGGTAATGAGTGCCCATATCGCTAATGAATTATAATTAAATTAATTAAAATGATTAAAATGAATTATATATAATGTGAAGATTCTTGTAATTCATTTTGAGAATGGTAAAATTATAACATTTAGCTATCAGTGAATTATTAATGCATTAAATCTAATATGATAAGCAGAAAATGAACAGTACAATGTGTAATAAAATGTTTATTCTGTACTCAGGTAAAACCAGGTATGAGAGATTATTATAAAAAGGTTGTCGAGGCCAGACCTAAAGATCCAATATATATAGCAGTTCGTATGATGGGAGAACTGCTAGGTGAAATGAATAAAAAAAAGCTGGAATTCAACGACATGTAAGTATTTCAGTTTTCTAGGTTTTAACTCATTCACCCATGGAATTTCATAATGATCTATTCCAATCTTTGAATTGGAAGAGTTCAAATGTGTCTTCAGGGGTGAATGAGTTAAGCCACCTGTCATTAAGTGTCAGTGAACCAGCATACAAAGTCTGCATCAGTTTGTCCCATGTCAACATTTCCTTTAGAATATGGCGGTCCTGAGGTGCACCCCTAAACTTAAATGAAGTAAAACAATTATTTAAACTGAGAAGTGGAGAGATAAAGTTACTGTTAAATATGTATCATCTCTAAGGACTGTTTGAATAGATAAAGTTGTACATTTAATCAGAACCAGGAGAACATAGATAATACAGTTACTACATATACGTAGTACCATATCAGTGGACTGTTACAGGTAGAGCAGAGTACTATTTGCAGTCATTGGTTCTACAGCAGATAATAGAAACTGAGATCTTAGTCAAGGACCATGCACAAATTTTCATAGTTTCTCTTTTAATTATGTTTCTTCTAATCTTAAATTCTCCTTCAAACAGTGTATTTCTTAAAACGAAAATGAATGAACTCTTGTTGACTATTGATTTAGGTTAATAAAAGTTCTATAGAATGACCATTTTCATTGATGACTTTCCAGAACATGTAGCCCGGAAACCTTTGGTGAGGCCTGTGACTTACGTAAACTAAATGCAATGACAACGAGAGAATTTGAAAAGGTAAGAAAACTAATAATAACCACATACAAAGTTAGATCCATTAAAGCTGATCCCATCTAATTAATATTTTACCAAATTTAACAGAAATATGATAACGACAAAGAAACCCTATAAATAAGTATCTTGGAGCAGTGATTTCTGATATCAGTTTTGGAATCCATCATAAACATTTAAGCTTGAGTAAATGTGTCTTTTAAACTGTCCTTATAATCATGTTGTTTAAAATTGTGTGGAAACATGATCTGGGCCGGTATTCATGAAATCATTTTGATGCTTAAACTCAGATTTTGTGCTCAAGCAAAATTTCTTATTCTGGTGATAAATTAATAAAAAAATAACATTTTGTCAATGATCTGGAAGAATGTTAGACTTTGGGCCTGTTTTCGATGTTTCAACGCCAGGTCTTCGTTTAGTTATAGATAATATGTTTGTATGGATAAACGTGAGGCCGATACATTTATATCAATAAAAAAACCCAGAAGGATGTGTTCGGAAAAATCGTGTGTTAACATAAACGATTATATTTACATTTGCATGGCATTGCCACTATATAGCCTCTTTGAAAGCTGTGTCGTTGATGGGACTTTAATTCCCATGCCGCACGAGACACAATTCTTAGCGTATTAATTACAACACTGACCGGAACTACAATATCCAATGTAAATAAACATGACGGCTGCTGAAATATCCCTGGGCATTGTGAGATTTGATAATGTCATTGTGAATTTATGTACAAAAAATAAAAACATAAAATAAAAAACACTTTTATTACAACGAAAACAAGACCAAGGTCTGCAATATCGTACAAAATGTACATCGGTTGAAATCACTAATGCCGGCAATGGAAACAATTTTAACGCTCATGCAATTTATCAGAAATATCGTCTGTTCCACTGCACTGATCAACAGGGGTTCGTTATAAATGTCTGAAATACACATATTCTATAGACCTACTGACACATATGTTACAGACCTACTGATATGAGTCCCAGCACACACAAACATTTGTCATTTCAGACATTTGTAACGAACCTGTGCTCCGTCGCAAGATCACTCACTTCAAATGCTATCAGTTTCACGCGTCCCTGATCCACAGTTCCTCAGTTTCTGACGACATGTCAAATAACGATGCTGTTATAGAATCTACCGACTGTTGTCGGGTTCCCATACAATCATCAAATACAGTCACGCCTGGATTCTTCACAAAATGAGCCAAGAGAAAAGTTTGAATTAACTTCCAAAAATAACTCCCTCGTGGAGGTCAAGGTCGGATTCACGGTGTTCACTGTATTTATCCATGCGCGAAATTTGTTCCAGGGGAAAAATCGAAACAATTTCAAATCTAACTTTCAGCTCAGATTTCTATTGATAAACTTGAATCACCCTATAGACATATCATACGCAATTGTATTGATACTAAATTGTGGAATACATTTGAAGTGTTTGTTAAAATGTCAAAGTACTACTTTGTTTGCCAATCAGCACGCGACAATACGCTGTTCAAACTATTGAACGAAATTGTGTGGACTGTCGATAAGGCGGGCATTTTTAATTTTAATTATAAATTATAAGTTAAAAAAGAACAAAAGAGGCAGAGAAAACGTAAATATAAGTATTGAACTGTTTTTGTATGATATTTATGATCTATTTGAATGACACAGCTTTGCAAGCAATCAAATCATAATGCGCTAGTGCTTGCAAAGCTGTGTCATTCAAATAGATCATAAATACCATACAAAACAGTTCAATGCTTAAATATCTCCCCTTCGAATGAAGGCAAACATATTGTATTAGTACTGGTTCCTCTTCTTCTTTTTCTGGTTCTTCTAATCGGAAAGTGTCCGTGCCATAACTTTTAAACCGTTAAAGATATCTTGATGAAACTTTAAGTATGCATGCATCTCCCACAGAAGGTACGCAATGCACTGGGACTAGGTCACTGTGACCTTCACCTCAAGGTCAAAGGTCAAATAAGTGCAACATTTTCAGTAAATTCTTGTCCGGCCCGTACATTTTAAACCGTTAAAGATATCTTAATCAAACTTGAAGTTAACCTACATCACCCACAGAAGATATGCAGTGCACTGCATTAAGGTCTCATGCTTCACTATATATACAGAGTTATGGCCCTTTGTTTAATTTTAATACCGAAGTTTGTCCGGAGCATAAGTTCCATGTTATTTCACCTACGTTAACCAAACTTACCATATTTATGTATCTTGGGAAGGTGGAATCTCTTGCACTAAAATCAGGTTTTGTGCCCCACTATTTACAGAGTTATGGCCCTTTGTTCATTTTCAATACGGAAGTTTGTCCACAGCATTACTTCCATGTTTTTTCCACCTACGTTGACCAAACTTGCTTTAGTTTTAATGTATCTCGGGAAGAAGGAGTGTCGCATTCTAAATTCGGGTCTTGTGTTCCCCTTTATAAAGCGATATGGCCCTTTGTTAATTTTTAATACCGAAGTTTGTCTATTGGCTAGGGGAGACATATGTTTTTGTTCACAAAAACAAAATTCTAGTTTCATGTATTTTATTACAGGTTGTAGAGGATTTGCTGGAGAATCCACCATCGGAAACACATTTAAATCGTATCAGGAAAAGATTACTTATGGGAAGCAGGGACTCTGATGAGCAGCTAGAGAGTATCTGTCGTCAGGTCCTAGAGGACTTTGAACAGGGATCACATCTGGTAATATGTCATCTATTTTTTATTCATTTGTTCTTTTCAGTATTTTCATGGATTTTAAAATTGAACGGTAACAAGGATCTGGAATCAGAAATAAACTTTTCTGAAGTATAGTGATAATTAAGAATTGATTTAGTCACAAGCTATATCTACGTTACATGGATCTCCAATCATAGTTTTATGTAACAATTATGACCAATTACTTCTTAAATGACAAAGGTAACAATTGATTTATCTAATATACAGAAAAATGTTTGTAGATGGGAAGGTTATAGTTTTGGTAAGGTTTTAAAAATAAGTTTTAAAAAATTAAAAAAAGATATAAATGGTATCATTTTAGCTACATATATCCGTTACAATGAAATCTTAAACAAATGAACATGAAAGTTTTAGTAGTACAAATTCATGTATGACTGAATTAGTATCTTTATTATCAGGATAATTTCAGAAACATTTCATACAAATATGATTTCCCATAGATATGAATGGTTTATGTGTATCTATATAATGCTGAATGTGTACGGATATTATTGGGATACAAATAATTTTAATTGTATTTACATAAAAATGATTTTTCAAAGGTATGAAAAGGATCGTTTTAGTTACATTTTATGTGATCACTGATTAAGTGTAAGTAGATTCGTTTTAACTACTGTATATTATTTAAACATTGATGGGAATATTTCGTTAGTCATTGGAGAAAAACATGCAAACTGTTTCATCTGTATAGCATACATGTATGCATGATGTGTTATTTTTTGTCATAACCTGATAATATAGTTGATAAAGTCTATATCAATTCTTAAAATCAGTTTTTCAATAAGTTTTCATAATAATAATGACAAGAATAGATCAAAATAAAAATGTTCAATATATCTAGTGTCAGTATTCCACCTGCACAACCAACAGTAGAAACATCAAAATCAATTGCTTTCTAATTTTTAGCTCACCTGGCACAAAGTGCCAAGTGAGCTTATGCCCAGGCGCGGCGTCCGTCGTCCGTCCGTCGTCCGTCATCCGTCCGGCGTCAATATTTTACTTTAAACGACTTCTTCTTAATAACCGAAAGGCCTAGGGTGATGATATTTGGCCAGAAGCAAACTGGGATGAAGGGCTACAAAGTTTGTTAAAATTAATGACCTTCACCTATTTTCAAGGTCACTGGGGTCAAATATGTGAAAAACATTAAACAACTTCTTCTGAATAACCAAAACGCACAGGGTGATGATATTTGGCCAGTAGTATGCTGAGATAAAGGGCTACAAAGTTTGTTCAAATGAATGACCTTCACCCATATTCAAGGTCACAGGGGTCAAATATGTGAAAAACATTTAACAACTTCTTCTGAATAACCAAAATGCCCAGGGTGATGATATTTGGCCAGTAGCATGCTGGGGTGAAGGGCTATCAAGTTTGTTTAAATGAATGACCTTCACCTATAGTCAAGGTCACAGGGGTAAAATATGTGAAAAACATTAAACAACTTCTTCTGAATAACCAAAACGCACAGGGTGATGATATTTGGCCAGTAGTATGCTGAGATAAAGGGCCACAAAGTTTGTTCAAATGAATGACCTTCACCCATATTCAAGGTCACAGGGGTCAAATATGTTAAAAACATTAAACAACTTCTTCTGAATAACCAAAATGCCCAGGGTGATGATATTTAGTCAGTAGCATGCTGGGATCAAGGACTACTAGGTTTGTTAAAGTGAATGACTTTGACTTATATTCAAGGTGTCAGGGGTCAAATTTGTTTAAAATCTTTAAACGACGTCTTCTGAATAACCATGGGTCCCAGGATGTTGATACTTTGCAAGTTGCATCCTGTGATGAAAGGCTATAAAATTTGTTCAACATAATGACTTAATTTGCCTGTAGCTTTATTTTAGATCACTTTTAAGGTTACAAGTGTGAGATTTATACCAGGTGAGCGATGCAGGCCCATTGGGCCTCTTGTATTATAGTGTCTCATCTTAAGTAGGTAGGCAGATTTTTCAGTAACTGGTCAGGATGGAAAGGTAACTATTGATTTATAATATAACAATGTTGTTGTGATGTATATATAAACATTATAATATTAGGTATGAAGTATATTGCATTATACAATATTTCCGGGATATCGCAATTGTATTGATAGAAGCAAAATCATTTGGATTGATTGAAATGAACCACTTTAACAGTGAAGGTCTGTGAAATGACATTTGGCTGTTTTGTCATTTCAGAAAAATGCAAAGCTTAAACGAAATCCGGAAAAGTTGTTGATTTTCTTGGCTCAGCAGGCTACAAAGAAATCAGTTGAGGTTCGTTTTGTTCATGCAAGGACAGTTTTCAAGAAGCTTTTGAATAAGGAATGACTTAAAATCCACTATTTGACAAGAGCCATCATTCTTATTCAAACTGACCGAGAGGAAAATTGTGAAAGAAAAAAACATTGTTAAAAGGTGTTCTAAATTCAACATAAAATGAAGGAACATTGTAAAATGTGTTCAAAATTAAACGTGAAAAAAAAGACATTGTAGAAAAGTGTGAACAAACAGCTGAACACGGGTGGTCCAAACTCAAAATAAAATTGAATTTTATCTAAACAACAGTGTTCCAGACTCAGTATGAAATGAAAAAACATGAAATACAACAGTTATGGCCCATTGGATTATCCGCTAAATTCCCTTATTCCTAATTACCCGCGGTCATGCATCCACAAGTTTTGTACCCAAGGCAGCGCTGACATGCACGCTGAAAGGATATCACTCATGTATCACTCATTCTTGGCTTTATCACGTTATCAGGTAACGTGTCGTATGCCAACCACAGCATGAACTGGATCCTCAATGGTTGGTATCTCCACATGACTGTCAATATTAGTTTCCGCTTCGGCAGCTTCTATCTTAACTATGCCACTCGCAAGTCCATTACACTGTCCTTGCTTTCCTGACCCCATCTTCTCTGAGGTATTCCCCATGTAACATTAATATTTGCTCCTTGTCTGTTCCTTCACACCTCTGGCAATGCGTTGTCCCCGAATTCTTGTCGTCGTGAGCAGGTTACTCCGATGATGTCCTGGTCTTTGAGAGCACTAGCACTTGCGGTTTGTTCCTCAGACTGGTTTGCGGACCAGGACCTTCCTGTCCCGTTCAGGATTTCTGCCTGCCTTACTGTCTTGTCCTTTCAGTCTCGCAGCATCAACACCAGCCTGGCCTATGTGACCTTGAACTACTCCACTAAAGACAGCGGGAATTGCGATGATGATGTCTGGTTGAAGAGTCGAATTAACTGAGTAGAACTTCAAGCCACCTCCGCATGGTGCTTCTGATGAATCTCTACAGTCCTTCGACTGAAGTCAAATGAACCTCATATAGCATGGAACTTTCCTTGCAGACCAGTCTTGTCGATCTTCCTCATCCACTATTTTTTTTTTTATCTACAAATCATTTCGATAAAATGCCAGAGAGCTCTGTATTAATGGATCTTTAATGCACCTGCTGTCCTTCATATGCAACAACGACCTAATGATGATAGAAATCCCCCCAAAAAATACCAAACATAGTGAACAAGACATGAAAATACATAACATATCACTCATCAGCTACAATGGCGAGGTTACAAACATGTAATGCAAGAGAAACATCTGGATAATAAACAGAAAATAAGAGCCGAGGTTTACTACGAACATGTGACTCACCGAACGGATTCAACACACAAGAAGGAGCAACAGTATTGCAGGTAAATCTGTTACAAAATAGACTTTGTATACATGTACATGCATACAGTTCAAACGTGTCAGATGTTGTAATATTCTTGAAAGAGTTGATATTAAAGGACAGGATATATTACGATTCAGTGGTATACATGTGACATGTAGATACTAATCTGATCGTAGATTATACGTTAAAAGTTTGAAATTCCTACCCTGCAAAATCACAACTTCACATGTTTCAAACAGGAAAGGGACGAATTTATGAACTAAATGTGACGTCAGACATCGTGACGTGGCTGTGTAAGGTATGGCAAACATGTTCATGCAAACAAGGTCAAACTTTAACACTCACAATGGAGAATTACTGCCCGAAGTTTTCTTGTGCATTTGATAGAGACACAATGCGTGTACGCCGTTTAATGACAGGTAGACCAAGACTTACTCTAAATGGTAAACGTTTTGTAAAATCAGGACAACAACACCTCGCACGTCTAACAGGTTAAGCTTTCCTTTCTAAACAAAACTAGTAGAGTTGGAAAAAAACAAAACTCTTATTAAAATTCTGTTTGAAAATGAAAAGAATGTTAAAATGAACATGCTACTGCGTCATATAGCCATTGCGTGCACTAATGACTCACACGTTTCGCCTTTCTTTGTGCTTCAGAAGAGCGTCGACTGAGGTCATCAGTCAAGTAAAGTATAATGAAATACAATGCTCCTCGTCGCCATTCTATCTTTTTTCTCCATACCTACTAGGACGATATCTCTATGACACTCTTCACCACTAATTCGATTCGATTTAAGCCGTCCGCAATAACATACACTAGCCCAGCAACCCATTCCCGTAGGCACATACACATTATTACCAGCCTTCAAGCTGATGACCATCAGTATGAAATCCTGATGCCTAACTGCATTCCTCTTGTTGACTTCTCTGCTCTAACACCATCTTGGTGCTTTTTGCCTAAAGCAAATTTTAAGTGCATCGTTTGTATGGCATGTCTGGTCATTTAGTTTTTGTTTATGGTAATGTAGATTTAAGGAATAAAAATCGAGATCTGAAGTGTTCTAAACATGTTATTTTTGTAATAGTATTTCACGGAAGCCATGACTGAGTAAATCTCGGCTCCAATGCTGCGGCCAAATTTCGGGGGTGATAGATGTTGTCCACCGGCAGACCCAACCAACTTGTGATGTAAAGTTATCACTTGAAATATGCAGAAATGAAACACCTATTTATTTATTTATGTTTTTATTTACTTATTTATTCAACACAATAAGCAACACGTATTTGGCATGATACTGCGTTAGATGGCTATTTCGTTCATTAAGGACTCTACAATGGTAGTGAAGGTAAATAGTGAATATTCCGAAACATGTGTAGAATACAGTGAAAGGGGAAAGGTTTAGACCTTATCACATCCAAATCCTCACCATAACCTTCCGCGTCATGTTTATAAACATACACTTACAAAAATTTAGTCCGGTAATGGCTATTACAAAACAAAAGCTTATATACACGGACCTGCATAAAGTTCATCGAAATGTTATTTTCATTTTTATTTCTTAGGTTACAAATTAATAACTTTTGACTACCACATATAGTTATGCTTAAATACGTACTTCATATAAACCCTGCCAGAATGAATGTCAGTTACACGTTTTAGGCCTACCTCGGGGACTGATAGTCCAACAATAGAATCAACCAGCCAATAATCACTATATTAGGTTAACATGTTTGATTTGATTGGTGTTCTACAATGACTAATGCAATGTTTGAATAGGTGTTTCCTTCGTGTTTTACGCCGCACGATGGTGGAATATTCTGGTGGACTATCAGACCCGGAGGGCGGCTGTTACTGTAGTTAGAATATATTTTGACATTGTGTACACGAAATAAAAACTGTGTTCGTTTATAATTGATTATCTGTTATGCAAGAAGATGTACGTTTGTAACGTAGTACAGAAGTCTGGTTGCCATTTTGCTATCTTTCTACATCTGTTTTGAAACACCTCAGATAAGTTTTTCACTCTTTCGACCTTTAGTTTCACTGAGGAGTTTAAATTGACGAAGTAGCCATATGGTGTAGTACATGTTAACTTTGTTTGACTTCCATAAGTTTCAATAAATCAATACTTTTTGTAACACACTTGTTTATTGGTTTGTGTTTACTGTCTTACAAGTGATAGACCAAGAAAATAAGAACATATTTTGAATACGTCATACACGAAGTACTACTTTCCCCCAAACAATACTAAAAGGTTTTCACCTGTCACACTTGAATAATCGTCAGTAACCAAGTCTTTTTACATTGGGAATTTAAGCACTACACGTGAGTTTAGAACAGAAGGCATGGACATATTCCCGACGGTTAGGGAAGATCTACACATGACCTAATAAACGTTTAAACAAGCCTGTTTAAATCTCCGGCTCAACTATACTGGCGGGTCGTAACGCTTGCGAAAGATTTAAAACACTCCATCATTGCGCCATTCATAAAAATACTAATATCGTAGTTATACGTACAAAGGACACATATTTTGTGCAGTAAAAGTGTACCTTTTCAACTTTAGAAATAAATTAAAGGATTGAACAAGATCATACATTGTTCTATCGATTTATTAATCGGAAACTATCAGAATGTTCATTGTTCAGGTCTTATATACAAAGGCATTGGGCAACAGGCAAAGCCTATGGACGCCCTCTCCTAATATAGGGCCTCTCAGTAATAAACAGTTACACACATCATATTGTAGTAATGACAAAACATATGTTGTATTATATATAAATTGCTAATTGCATGCTAATATTCTTTTTGCGATTGTTGATACATAAACTAGATGATACAAACCTCAGCCAAATGGTGCTGATGGACAACACATACTAAACGTACGATTCTGTGCTGGCAAGGTCGTGTGACAATTGATATATACATAAGTGTAATCTTGTAAAAGCGTCTCATATTGATATCGAGTCGTTCACATCCATAAAGAAAGGTATGAGTATTTAACGGAAAAGTATTATTAAGAGTAGAAATCGGGATCATGAGCAGTTGCCTTTGATTAGTATACAGGGAACAGCGGAGGAAGAAGTGATCACTATCCTCAACAGGAGAATTACACTAGAAGGCAGAGGCATAATTTATGTGAGATTTAAAAAGATCTTGATTCAGATTACTGGAAAAGTTTCTTAGTTGACATAAGGTAATTAATTTTTAATTTTTGATCACCATATCTTTTGAAAATATTAGTACATTGAGAATCCATATCAGCATAACAATCTCAGAGTCCATGCATGTTTAATTAAGAAGTTAAGTCGCTGGTGCTTCCTCCATAGTCCTGTATTTTTATTGAATGTATTACTTCCTCATCGGATTTTCGTTGTAAGGTTTTAAGCATTTCACGTATATGTTTCTCAGTTGTGACTGGGTGACCTTTGACGGATATTTCCTACTCATGTAGGAGTTATCATCTCATTAATTTTAAGCGTACTTAACTTTTGACATGTTCCTTTCTGTCAGTATTGTGATTTCATTTCACTATTCATTCATACAATATTTTAACGAAAGTATTCCTTGTTATAATGTTAAAATATGTGACTACAGTGATCACGCAGGGGCTTGAACGCATACCATTAACTTGCACAGATAATATGTATGTAACGTGATACTGTAGATATGTACACATGCCATTAACTTGCACAGATAATATGTATGTAACGTGATAAAGTAGATATGTACAAATACCATTAACTAGCACAGATAATATGTATGTAACGTGATAAAGAAGATATATACACATACCATTAACTAGCACAGATAGTATGTATGTAACGTGATACTGTAGATATGTACACATACCATTAGCTAGCACAGATAATATGTATGTAACGTG